TTGCAGCTCAGAACACTGCTGGTTGAATCCAGCATTTCCTGCCACTGTTACCTCCCTTCTGGATGAAGCAACCCCACCAGTGTTGGACAGGCTCCAGTGGATGCTGCCTGCTGTGATGACAGGTCACATTTTAGCCTAGTTTAGATACCTCACCAGTAAGTCCATAGCAATAGCAAATTGTTGTAGTTGCTAAACAAATTAGTTGTGTTTTCTCTGTTGAAGCTGGATGTTGATAATACCAGATACTCATCAGAATCACTTTGTTACATCAGAGTGAACCCTGAAGTACCAACAACCATTAGTGTTCTGAAGTTGTGCCTGTTTGCACCAGGGAGATCATGGGTGGAAGAAAACATGAATAAAAGCAGGGGGAGGGGTGGGGAGTGTCAGTGTCACACACTGCTGGGTAATACTACCCTAATTATCTGAGTTTAAAGAAGATCAGCTAATGCTGTGTATGGCACTGGTAGATCATCAGGTGTACCCTGATTATGCTATGTGCTATTGCAGAACTGTTTCAGCTGGAAATTGATCTAATTTCATAGCTGAAAATTGGGTTTTATCCCAGAATATTTCTGCAATCTGACTTGAGAAGTAACAGCAGCGGTCCTGGGAGCAGAGGAAGGGGACAAACTGCAGGCGAGGCTGGAAGCCCTTTCAGCCGTAGCAGCCCCCTTCTCCCTCACTTAATTTTGGCCTGGCAGCTGCTGTGTTCAATGCAAGCCATTTCAATCCATGAGGTGCTGTGGAAAAATGCCAGCACAAACAAGACACTTTTTGTCTGTTGAAGGTACCTAATGGCACAGCAATGGGCTGTGTTCTTACTGCACTGCATTAGCAAGTGTCTAGTGCTGCAGTTCATTGGTTTTGTGATGCAAAAACTGCATTGTATTGGGATGGCCATGTGGGCTTGCACTGTATGTGCTGTACTGTGTTGGGGTTCTGGAGTGGAGAGGTAAAACAATACTTTGTCAGTGTTGCATTAAGCACTGGAGTGATGTTATTTCCAGCTGTTCCAAGATACCTGGCCTATTCTGAGCGGTGTGAGGATGGCTTAAGCCTGTTGTCAAATACTGTGCCTACACTGGAAGGAGATTCTCCAAGAGTAAAGCCTTGAGATGGCAAAACACATGAAAGGCTGCACAGGCTGAGTGTTTTAGTGGATCTGAGTCTTCAAAATGGTGGCAGAACATAATCCAAGATGAAATATAGAAGCCGTATTTCAGATTTGGAGGAAAGGGTGATGAGGGAGTCTGTGGTCCTCTCCAGGATATGGAGGGCCCTGGCTCTGCAGCTGAAAGGTGACCCTGACACTGCTGGTTCCTGGCATTCCTAAATCTGATGCCAAGAAGTGCTGAGGTCTTGCATAGCACAATCTATTCCCTCTTTAAAGAACCAAGGACAAGGTAAAACTGCTGGCTGACTGAGGATTCATGCTTATGCATAAACACAGCAGTTCCTTTAATGTATGTATATGGATTCTTTTGCTTTACCATCATGGTGATGGTCAAAGCTGAAGACTCTCTGGTCTTAGGCATGTTTACCTGTTCTCCCATCAAGGCAAAATCACTTTAAATCTGCCATCCAGGTGGAAGACCAGTCTTCTAAGCTGTTCATATGGTCATTCATCACTGAACTCCATTGTCTTCCCCTATCCCCCTCCCTCCTGAATGAACTTTGACTAAGGGGCAGTAGACCTGGAAGCAGCATCTGGTGTCTGAGCCTTCAGGGGCGATGTCCTGCTTCCTACTTCTGCAGTTGCTGAAACTTAGCTTCTTTTCAGCAGCAGCCAGGAGACTGCTCTCACTTGATTTCTACTAGGGTGCTCTTTTGCTTTCCTAGTGATCCGTGGCATCTTGAAATATAGCCTGCCTTAGCTGCTGTCTTTACAGACATGTTGAATTTGGTCTTCTGAGTTCTGTGGAGGCTCTTGCAGGTGACAGTTATCAGGAATTGGAATAAGCTATTAATGCAGAAATATGGAGTTAGCTTAAGAAATGTCCCAATTTCTGAGCAAACATGGCTGTATGGAAGTCTGATTCTCTCATTAGAGTAGTTTGTCACCTGTTTGCTGTCTAGTTTAATTAAATACAAAATACAAAAGAAAAAACCTTCTACAGGCACACAATAACACCATCTCTTAATTATAGCAAGGGGTGGAAGGGAGGTGCTCTTGGATTGATTCATGTACCCATTGTCAACACTGGTGTTCCTAAGGCACCCAGTGTCTTCCTCAGAAGCACTTCTTAAAAATGCAAGAAGGACCATGTTCTTCATATTCAGTCCTGTAAACCCAGAGCTCCTGGAAAGAGTGGAGGGAGGCCAGGATAGACCCACCAATCCAAACGGAAGACTTTCTTTGAGGGAATGCAGCTGTGGTGAGATTGTCACTAGGGCACATCTCAGCCAGTTCCATTTGGAAGCGGTCAGCAAAGCCCTCCATCATCGTGCTGCCCCCACACAGGAGGATATTCCTCACCATTTTTTTGTGGACGTCAGCATCACATTTCTTGAGACAGGTGAGTGTCAGCTGCAAAAGCCCTGGCTGCTGTGAGCCAAGTAAGGCTGGTTTGAAGAGTGCTTCAGCGCAAAGGAATCTCTCCTTGCCTACAGTGACAAGGCGTCCATCCGGCAGCTCGTAATCCATTTGCTGTTTCTGAACAGGCAAACTCAAGTCCTCTGTAAGGTCCAGAGAAGTGTAGCAACACTTCTCTTTGAGATCTTGTACAATGTTCAGCTGGTGTTCTGCGAACACGTTTCCAGACTTATTTAGTAACTTCATGAGGTAACGTGTGATGTCCAAGCCAGCATAATCGACTTTCTCGGTGATGCTACGTATAACATAACCTTCATAGATGGGAACCACATGCGAAGCACCATGGCCACTTTCCACCACGAGAGCTGAGGTTCTTCCGTAAGAGTACATGGATAAATGGGACTGGTAGGCAAGATGGATGGCAGGCACGTGAAATCCTTCAAACATCATCTCTGCATATCTCTCCTTGTCAGCGATGGAACACAGGGTGGGCACTGACATCAGAACAGCATGGTCCTCTGGCTGAATTTTCATCCCTGTCAGGAAAATACGCCCCAAAGTATCTTGGACACAGTTCCAGTCCACCACTATGCTGTGCCTTACCGGGTTGATGAGCACCAAGGGTACGCTGCTGTTCTGAAGCTCTCTTCCAACAAAGGTTTCTTTTGGATTGTTCCCAGCCTCCTGCATGGGCTTACCAACTGTAGATGAAACGATGTAGGAAGGCCATGGGTCCCCTGCAAAGCCACACTTGAAGTAACCTGTGCCCATGTCTACAACTACTGCTTTAGTTTCCTTCATGGCCTTGAGGCTACCCGTGGTCCTGGCTCCGTGGCTGTCCCGAATGGCTTGCGTGTGCCGCTGCCGTTGTGCAGACCTTTCCCAGAGAGCTGTGACTGCATTGCCCTGCCACCGCGGCACCTGGGGTCAGCGCAAGCAGCAGAGGCCTGCCTGGAGCCCCGGTGGCAGGGATTCTGCTGCTAACACTGAGTTATGACATCATACCCCGGCTCGACCCTCAGAAACCAGTGCTCTGCATTGCAAGCGTGTGACGGTTGTCACCCGGGCAGCTGCACACTGTTGCTATATAGGTGGATTGCAGGTGTTTGTGCTTCACCTTGACCTGCTCTGAGAGGTACTGAAAAACAGGGCACGCACCCAGCTGTGAGGGGCTGTGGGGCCCGAGCAGTGCGTTTCACGGTGAGGCAGCACAGCTTTTCCTTCCGGCCTGCACCTGCCCTGTGAGGAAGATCACGGTTCTCCAGCATTTGCAACTGCTCTATGGTCCGAAGTCGTTCCTGTTGCTGAGCATTAGCACTGCTTCACCTCTGGGGCCAAGCAAAGCCCTAGTTCAACAGTGTCAAGAGTGAATCCCTAGGCTGACGCTGCTTTTGTCATAGTTTCTTAAGTTTTGCTTTCTAAATTGAGGCATAATATTACTAATGCCAGCAAAAACTAAAACAGGACTGGTGTTTGAAATTAGGCCACAGCCAACACCTCGCTCTTACTGTCTCCCATTCCACTACAGCAACATCTTTGCTCTTGTTCCAGCAGCAACAGGCCACTCTTTGCCCCATCAGAGTGTGTGCAATAACATGCTGCTGCGTGGGGCGCAGAAGAGCACACCATCTCGCCAAAGACTACATTATTAAGAGTTATGGACAGCATTTTCCTTCTACACCAAAAGCTCTGCGTGCTCTTTTTCTGAAAAGCCATTTCACCCACAGGGCATCTTAACAAGTCAAGTCTGGGCTTAGAATGAAATTGAACCCTACAAATCAGTTCTGGACACAGAATTACATTATTACTGCTCTGCTGCTCCCTGTCCAGGAGTTCACATCTTGATGACAACCAAATGATAGAGGCTAACAAAAATCCCAATGTGCAGAAGGGCAGCATTAAACCACACAATCTCCGTACCGCCCTCGGCATACGCAGCCAAACAACTGCCAACCTTCGCAGTTTATTACTCTGGGGAGCAGTAAAGCTAGTCGTTGCATATTGTACATGTATTTTTATACATAAATTAAATACATCCCTGCACACAAAAAAGTTAGGCTGCCCCTCTTAGAGCCCGAGCACCCTGGTGAGGGGCGATGCCTGCTCCACAGCTAACAGGAAGTTCAGCAGCACTGACACCTTCACACCATGCTGCGGCACAGCGAAGTGGGGATGCTGACACTCCTGCCCATGCACTCCCAGTGCATTCCACTGATGGTTTTGCTGTCAGCCACACCAGCCTCTGCAACATTATCACTCGAGAGAAACTTCAGTGATAGGCAGAAGACATCAAGAGAAAGACCTCTAAATCATGGTTTGTTTCTTTACTTTCTCAGTAGATCTGGGCTCAATGCCTCAGCTTCTGAATTAAAATAAATCCTTTTGTCCAAAAAAACACTTCTTCCAGACTTCAGCTGACATACCGATCAGTGTGGCAGTATCACAACAAATCTGCAAATACACCTTTTATTTCAGAATTCACTTTATTTTATAGGGTTTTTTGGTCTAAACTATTACAAAGTTAGTACGAAGTTGTTTCCATGCCACTTTTTCCCCCATGTTACATTTGTCATTCCATTTAACAAAAAGCATACATCTCCACTAACATTTTGAGGTCTCTGGTTTAGCCTGAAATCTGAAGACAGGTTGTAAGATGATTTTTTGCAAAATCATTTTGGCCAATGTTTCCTGAGATGTTCCTTTAACTGTGGGATAGTGGACAGCTGTTGTTTGCAACGATGGCATCTGAGGGGCAATTTGAGAAGTTCGGAGACATGATCTTTCACCTTCACTTTTCCCTTGCTTCTTACCATCTCTATCACATCTAAAAAAAAAAAAAAGAGACCAGAGGTATTGGGACCATGTAGCATCATGAAACACGTCCCCACAGAATCTCTGTGTACTGCTTCACATGCACAGCATGTCATCACTGCATTCTAATTTAAACCAGTCACAAAATTCAGTTGACTTTTACTTAGTGCTATGCCCCAATATCTGAAATTACATACAGGCTTTCACTTACTGCAATAGAATTTATGGCTTACACATTTGTTTGGAAAAAAAGCCCAAAGCCAGAACACACAAGCAGGATTACATGTTATGAGATATTTTTTCTGATCGTTACCTTCAGAGTTCAAGAAAAAGTCTGTAGTGAAAGAGTTCCAGTGCTTTTTGGTTTTCAGGGCCGGAGAATCAAAATCTTGGCTGATTACATGCAAATGTAGCTGACTGAAACAAATATATTATGTAGATAAGAGAGGAGAATAATGTTAATGCTCAAAGTTCTTTTGCAGTATTATCAGTTGCAAACATGATTCAGCAGAGTCAGACTGACAGCCTTATCATGCTTGACCCACAGTCCTGCAAGAGAAGAAACCCAGTCTATTCTGCAAACACTGCCTCATGCCAAGCGTTTCACCTAAACAGTCAAGGTCACAAGTCTGCATACCCCATTGGTCCCCAACTACAGCCTGTATTTGCTTCCAGAAAGACAGATGCAGGGGTTTTAATAAACAAAAGGTTTATTTAAAGTTTGTAGCGTACCTGAATGTGACTGATCAGTGACTCAAAGCTTTATCCAAGAACTGGAAAACTTAGGAACACTGACTGCAATCCCCACAGGCATTTGCACGCTGTAAAATGTGCGCTTATTTACCAGCAAGACTCAGATCTTTGCTCAGTATCAGGCAGGACTTGATAGGCTTAAGAGTCGCTCTCTGATGGCAGGCCGGCCCCCCTGGGAGGGGGGCTGCCCACCGGCAGTGCCACCTCAGTCAGTGCCACCTCAGTCAGTGCCACCTCAGTCAGTCAGTGCCACCTCAGTCAGTGCCACCTCAGTCGCTGGGACCTACGGTGGCCCCAGCGACAGGCCGGCCTCTGCTAGGGGAACCCAACAGGCACTTCCCGCCCGGCCCAGACAGCTCTGCAGCCCAGTCTGCAGCAGTTTGTGCACTGCTGCATTCAAAGTACTTTGACACCAACCTGTTTGCGGTGCTTAAAAGGATTAGCTGTACTTTAGCAACGCCAGATCACGTTACAGATTAAGCCCCAAATCTGCATAACTGGAAGAACAGGACCTCTACCTGATGACTCATTTAGGTCTTACCTCATACTGGGGATAGCATGGTAACCCAGTCTGAACTCCAGACTCTCTCTGGCAGGGCACTGTTCGATCATTTTTTGCCCAACTTCATGCATATGTTCCAGGAGCTCAAGATGGTCCCTGGTGACTGACTTCAGGCTTGAAATGGGGTCCCACGGTAAGATAAGCCAGTGGTAACGTGCTTTGGGATATTTATCCTTGATGACTACAGTCTTTTCATCTTTGTAAACCTTGCAAAACAGATAACTAGATTATTTACTGATTGAAAGTTAAATATCTTATTCCTACAAACACTATATTTAGTGGATTTTGAGGTGTTTTATATATATATATATATATATGCACATCCCACTCTGTATACAGAAGTCCCTATGCACATGTATGTGTTGCTAGTGCAACTGGGACTGCCAGGAAAGAAGCCAGGAAAGATTACTAGATGGGGAGAAATATCAAGCAGCAGAGCATTCCACTTCAAGGAGGATTTATGCTGGAACTAAGGTGGTCCAGGATATGTGCCTGCTTCCATACCATGCACCAGACAGCTGTGGAGAGATGTTCCTGCATCCCTCCTTATACACTTTAAGGAAAAAGCTTTATATTCTTACAGAGAAGTAAGTTAACTATTGCTACAGGTGGATATGAACTCTCTTGAAAATGACCTGGACTCAGAAACCCATGAGGTCTAGGAAACTACTTCCCTCAGGCTGCATTCAGGCTTTGCAGTCACTGTAACAAAAATCACCGCACTGCGCTCGATATAGAGCACACAGAAATACATTGCACTGCCTCGCCCTTTCCAGATTTCTGGAGTGAAACACAGGCCTCAAGTGCTACAAATACTGTGCTCAGTGCTACAGACCTCCACCAGCATTACAAAGACAAAAACACTCAAGTCCCAGATATTTCAGTTCATGTTACCCAATGTGCTACTGTGTAAAGATCACTCACTAAAAGAACAGATCCCTGTCTATCATGTCCTTCTTCCCGTTTTCATTTGCCTTTTGCAACCACTTGATGCAGCTGATGAAGAGAAACAGTAGCAAAGCATGTGGAGAACAAGGGAGGCAACCTGCACCATCAATAAACATCTGTCAGGTTCTGAAGCATGAACTGTGTGCTCTGTCTCTGCTCTCTTAGCGGCACATATGTTGGTGAGAGATGTATGATGACTTTGTCATCTTTGCCAATTATTCTCATATGTTTACATACAGAGCTGATCAGTCTTGCTCAACAGGAAGGAAGATTAAAATTTTATCAGCACATAAATCATAGGACTGATTCTTTCAGCAGCAAGACTGGTTGATGCTGTCATACTTTTATATACACATATTAGTGTCTGCATATGCAGTCAGTGGGAATGGGACCATGATCAAGTGTTTTCAGAAGAAAGAAATACTGCCATTTATTTAATATTTGATTAAAAAGCAAAGATAGGAGTTCTATTGTTTGCATACCTAGTTCAGAAGCACAACTAATAAAGCTAACACCAAGTCACAAACAGTTATTTGTATTTAACATTCAAAGAACAGTTTTAAAACCAGCTTATCTTTTGGGTCAGGAAAACACTGTCTTTGTAAATACTGTATGAAATTCTGCTTAAGGGACGAAGAGTAAGCTTAATGTTTAAAAAGTAAGCAAGTATTTCAATAGCTTTATCATCCCCCATAGACTCATTTGAAACTGTTGGCGTTCCCAGGAGAATGGGCATCCAGTTCTCTTACAACTCTGTGAAGTTCAACACTTTAGACTTGAACTAAAAATTAAAAAAAAAAAAGTCAATCAAAAAATAGACACCTTCTGATTAGTTATCAAGGAAATTACTTTCAGCCTGAGGGTGATCACCACCTGAGGGGGCCCGGTGGAGCTGTGGAATCTTCGCCTTTGGAAATAATCTCAGCTCAAATGGACAAAGGCTGGGGCAATCACACTGAGTGTAAGTGGTCAGATGGGGTAACCTCCAAAGGTCTTTCCCAACAGAAATTATTCAGTGATTTCAAGAACCAAGTATCACAAGTGTCTGTGATACCTGTCCTCCTGAACACATTCCCTTGATGAGAAGTAGAAAGGGAAAAAACACATCTCTAATATTAAGATGGCCATGCAGCAGCCAGCCAGCCAAAACCCAAGCCAAATGAACCCAAGCTTCAGGCCTTACTCTGCCAGACAGTGGAATATTGATGGAGAGCATTCTCCCTATTTTGAAGTTGAATTAAAAAGCTTCTTCTTGATAAGGAGTTGTCTATATATTTGCCATAACTTAAAAATAAAATGAAAGTAGGTTAAAAATAAAATGAAAGTAGGTTCTACACATGGATAGGGAAGATTCTGTCAGGGCTCTCAGAATACAGTAATGAGAAAGTGTGTATACACTGCAGCCACAGAAGACCTCTGTCAGATTTCTGCATCTTGAGTCTGATCTCCCCAAAAGCAGGCAGCAAACAACAAAAAAAAGAGTTCAAGGAAAACCATGCCGCAGTCACAGGGAAGCCGCGGGAGGGAGGTACATCTGGCGCATCTGCAGAAGGTTAAAAGAAACCACCCAGGAAATTCCTGCTGGCACAAAGAAACCGGGTGGAGGAGGAGCCAGGGGTCACATCCTGTCAGCTGGCACAGGGGTGTTGCAGCGAAGTTTGCAGGAAATCAGGAAACTGCACCATGCCTGGAAACAAGGCAGTACTACTGCTGGGAAGCAGGAACCTCGGCTACTTGCTCAGCTCCAAACCCCTCCCCCATTTTAGCTGGTTTCCCTGAGGAAACAAAGCAACTGCACCATTCATCTGCTCTCCCAATAACCTTCCCAAAATCCTGTTAGCCAAATTTGACAGTGTAGAGACCAAGAAGATAATTAAGATAATGACATCCTGCAAAATCAGTATATTAGAAACTTGCAAATTAATGCTACTCCAGAAAGAGATGCAAGAACAATTTATTCCTCATGCAGTACTCCACTGGTTAATCAGATCATTTAGCTGCAGGAGGAAGAAAGCAAGCTCATTTAACATTGTTAGACAGGAACAACTGTAAAGTGCAAATGTACAGCTCTACAGCTCTCACCTGCATTTTTGAATCCTGCATGGAGCTCTTTAGGCCCTGACTCCAGTGTCCTAAATGTTCCTAAAGCACATAAGGAAAATAATAATTTACAAGAGATGTAAGAATACAGTTTTATGTTTTAAAACATTCAATTAAGTACTTTCATTAGTATACAGCAGTAAAATAACAGCTGAATTATCTCCTTTCTATAAATGCCAACACACCTGCTCCAACCGCCCCCACAAAGCTACTTCTGAAAACTTTTAACAAGGTACTGTTAAGATTCAAAGTTAAGTCTTTTAAATGTTGGAAATTTAACAACAGGGAGCTCTAAATCTGTTTGAATTTTGTAAATTGCACACACATGTTATGGCACAGTCCTTGATTACTACTGATGACAGATTATTTTACTACAATGCCCTTTGCTTCATGGATCACAAGGGCCAAAGTAAGTACAAGGATCTCCATAAACTGTCCTACCACATGCTGCTCTGCACAGAAAAAAGGAGTGGTTGTGGCATATGGCCCTACTCTTTGATGCATTTATTTTTTGATATTGTGCAAGAAGTGGCTTGTTCAGAAAACAAGAAAGGCACAAGAAGATAAAGCCAATGCTAGCAGAGACCCCTTAACTTGGTTACTGAACATCTAATAGGAGGTGGCCCAAGTGCACTTTCTTCAAAACAGATAATGTTTTATCTGTTCAGATCACTTTACAGGCATTATCAACAAAGATCTCTGTCATATTCTTACAGAGGAAGATGTTCAATTATCACAGTGCTGACAGAGAAACAATGTGAATCGTCTTGTCTTCCTGCTAATACCACAACAAATCTGGCCCTAATAGAACTAGCCCGAGTTCAGAAATTCATGTGGCCAACCTACCACAACCTGAGACTGAAATTTTGTCCTAAGGGGCTTCATTTCTGCACTATCTCCTCCAGCAACTGCATTGTTTCAGATGCACAAATCAGTCTTCTACTTTGTCCATGTCAATGTCAGCAGGGTTAAAAACTTGCTTTCAAAAAATTTTGGCTGGTAACATTCATTAGTGTAAACATGGTTTTACCACAAGGAATGACCAAAGCAGGAGGGGGAAGCAATTAAAAAAAAAAAAAAAAAAAAAAAGTCAAGTTGTTCCATTCTCTATGCATAAGCTTTTAGATAATCACCGCTATTTGTAATATAAATTAATTCTTGAGATTTCAAGAGCCAGCAAAGTATCCTTGTGTGATTCCAGATAAATAGAGCTCACATGGACTGTCTTTCTAGCAGAAACCACAGCAGGAACCAGAAGTTAAATAAATCCCCATATTCTACAGGCAAGCCCCTTCACATATACCCACGCCCCAGCACACATTAGAATGGGTTCCCAGGCAACTTTCTCAGGACCTAGGTGATGTTAGCAGCAGAGTTTTTGCCTCAGCACATCAGGCTCACGTACTCTGAATACTCTGAGGATCCTGAGACACCTTCCCATTGCTGGTACCCACAAGGGCAAAAGACCAAAACCCTGATGGAGGAGACAACCCCAAGAGAAGCAGCACAAGTATTAATACCAATATACTTGCCTTTTTGCTTGAAGTTCCTTCACGTGGAGATACACTGGTATTGCTTAGCTTGGGATTTGCAGAACTGCCTTGTGTATCCGACACCTCCATCTTCATTGTTTTTCTGGGCACAGGCTCTTCATCATCATTATCACAGGAGTCCTCATATGGCATCCTGTCAGTCTGTGTTTTCTCTTCTGCTTCTGAAACAGTTTTCCCTGACTCTTCAGCAAATTGCACCGTGTAGGGGTAAAGTTTATTCACAATATGCAGAACCTGGCCTGGCTTCATCTTCATCTCTTCATCCTTGCCAATGTTCATGAGATCAACACTAGTTGGGTTGACTCCTATCTTTGTTAGGGAGAAAGGAAAAATAACAAATGACGTTGTAATTGGAATCACCAACTACCACTCCATCATCCTGCAATATCACTATCCTGGAAAGCAAACGTGTTTCGTATTCACTGTACCCCCTCCCCACACCAACCCGCTCTAGAGGACCAGGGAAGTCCAGTGCTGGAGACACCTTTCTATGGCCCAGTCTTGCAAACACAGCTGCCTGCACACAACACTCAGGGGCAGGGTGTCAGAGGGACCCGACAGTCCTGCAGCAGCTGACTACAGAGTAACAGTGAGATCTATGCTGCACTTTGTTCAAAAGAAAAACTGACAACCTATTAAGAAACTGTTAAAATAACTGTCTTCATAATTATTTCTGAAGAGTAACTGTAGTTTTAACAAATTATTTCAATCATCCCCAGAAAGTTTCCTGTTTTCAAATTATTGTACTTTCTCTTTCTTCTCCTTTCTACTACCTTTTGTTTTCTGTTTCTACCAAATGCTATCATATCAACACATTTTCCTTCAAATACATAAGCACACTCTCCTGGCTCATTTCAAGAGAGAAGGGAGTTCAGGCTCACAACCGCTGGCTCACCAAGCACAGCCCACTGCTAACACTTGCAATACACTCCCTCTCAAATAGGCTAAATAAATAAATAAAAATCAGGAAAAAAGTCTCCCTGAATCCCCAGAAGAGTCCATTACATAGGAATCAGCTCCTTGATCCAGTCTTTAATTTCCCAAGACAAATGTGGTAACTCCAGCCTACAGAAGACTGTGTTCAAACACGGTGACAGCACTTGCCTGTTCCTTCAAGAGGCAAAACCTCTATCTACCTTGTGCAAAGTATATACCAGCCTCTCTGTGGTTTAATACTTATATTTTCATTTTGCGTCTTACACTTTCACAAAACCAACTGTTATTTATTCTGTTCTAGCAGAAAATGAGGACAGCAAGGTCAAATTTTTACCTACCTCTCTTTGCATTCATTTATAGCTCTATGCAAATCTAAAATAATTTTCACTTTAAAACACTGTTTTAAAGACTGAGAAGCTACCTAAAGTTTAGCTGGTAATTGAAAAGCAAAACATTTTCTTCTGTCTCAGGCATAATCAGTAACACAAAGTGGCATGGACAACCTACAGTGCCTGTTTGATAGACAGATTTTGCCTGATCATGAAGGTGACCCTAGGGAAATTAGGAGTCTCCAACTTCAGCAAAATGCTTTTGGTTGACGTTTATGCACAAAGCAAGCTTTAGGAAACAAGCTCTTCCCTGTGACCAATAAACTCTATCATAGAATGTTTCTTGAGCTTTGTCACTGAGACACCTGCTTGCTTCATAAGATGGTACTGTGCCTTTCATCACTTGGTATTCACTGTGATGAGGCACCAACCTGACTCCAGCCAGGATCTCTTGTCTACAGTTCCGCAGTTTCACTCAAGTGAAGTACACTTCACATCCCCTGGGCCAATACATTAACAAACAACTGATTACTGGAACCCTGTGCCACACACAAATCACCTGCGAAGCAACTCAAGAGCAGGCAGCAAAAACATGCTAGCACCCACTGCCAGAAAATATTCTCAGCCCTGAGATTCCAGTAAAATGATATTCGAACTGTGGCTAAGGCTGGCTTCTGTGAAAAACTGCCTGAGGGATCTTTGCTGGATTCACCAGATGAGCTCTGGAGGTGTTTTGACAGAAGATGTTACTCCTCTACTCCTCAGTAGACAGATGTTCATGTGTTGTCCACACATGCTGATGCTGCGGGCACACATACATGTCCCAGCACCCGAAGCCAGAGAATTTTCCCTTCATATTATCTCAGGGATACTGCTCCTCATAAGTATGAGACAGTAGGCCTACATCCATCCAGTCAGTAACACAAGAAGGCCTGCAGTGCTGTCTCACATCCCATCCCTTCCCAGAGGTGACCGCAACTTTGACTCTGTCAGCCATCAAAACAAAAACCTTCCACAATTGCTCAGTCCCATTAACACAAAAACCAATTATGACCTTAAATGAAGGGCTGCCTCAGACTTAGAAGTTTAAGGCTCAGGAAGCAGATCATTAATTTTAGGGGAAGAACTCCCAAATCTCCCAGACGTAAAGCCTGGAAGAACGGCTTGAGGATTCACAGACGTGTTCCCTCATGCTGCAAGTCTGGCTGTCTGAGACTGGAGCATATCTGGAAGGAATAGCGCAGTCACTCCATTGAGGTACACAAGAGAAAATAAAAGGCAGATCCCTTCTAAGGACCACCCACTGTGCTTTCCTCAGTCATAAAACAGCTTTGGGTCCTTCTGACCCAGTGATCAGCATCATCACTTGCAGCATTTGTGGAGTTTAAGTAAAACAACAGTCCCAGTATCTGAAATATTGTATACCCATTTAAAAACATACCTGCTTAACTGTGACATACCCCTTGTTACAGTCTGCTTTTAACTGAACTGGAAAGAAAGAAGAAAGTATCACAAAACAGTGTAAATAAAAAGGCCAGAACTCTGCTGAGCCAGCCCTTGTAGAAAAAAATCCTGCATTTTAAGATCTGCTACCTTCTGAAGCTGATCTCTGTGAATATAGGCAAAGAATATTTCTGCCTCAACCTCTTTCCAGGACCACAGGTAAAATGGAACCAACCCATATACTGAATCACACTTTAGTATTGCACATTATGGATCAACAAAATTACTGCATGTATTTCAGATCACGGATCAGCAGAATAAAGGTGCAATCTATAGAAGTCTTCTACACATTCTTGCTATTCTCACTGTGTCCAGAGGGAAGAAAGATAAGGCAGGGAAGATGTGGAATATTTCATACATCACAGATGTTTTTATATATTCTCCCAGCACATCTATAAAATAACAAGCCATATTAAAAATCAGTTGGTGCAAGACTAGGGAGATAAGTGCCACTCAAAGAGGAAGAGTGCACACAGCGGAACATGACTGTGGGCCTGAGGACTCAGTGTGTTACGGTTCAATGCCTTAGTTTATGAAGGTGAACTTCCTGTTATTAGGTGTCTCCCCTGATTTTTTAGGACCCAGAGATCTCCACAAGTGCTTATAAAAAAAGCTTGACAATTTCAAGAATCAGATAACGCTATGGACCATGAAGAGACAGGAGACCATAAATCAGTGACAGCAGAAGCAAGCCTAAGGAAATCATACTTAGATTTCAAGAAAAAACTGATTTCCCTTTTAGATCCTGCACAAAGCAGCCTTATGAATTAGGCTAAAACACTGGCCCATTAGCTTCACTGTAATTTAGCCAAATGGAAGAATTATGTGCTTGTATCTCAGACTCTTCACAAGTCTGTTTGCTGTTGCATGTACAAAGCGGGATTTGAGCTAAACCTTACCTTGCTGCCGGGAACACTTCCTATCTGTTATCCCAGTCTCTGGGCCACGCCCAATTACCACTGCTTTCAGGTGAGGCAGTTTCATTCGCTGACTGCATTTGTCTTTCCCCACAAGCCAGCACACACGCATCACTGTGCTACAGAGCAAAACAAACAGTATGTTACTAACATATAGCTTCCCAATGGGTCACCCTCCTGTGGAACGGGGTCCAGGAATTCTGCTGTCAGCTCATTCATTAGCTGAGTCACTTCTGCTAACAGGGTTCTTATTTCTGAAATTCCAGGCAAAGCACAGCATTAACACTAGCATAATCTAAGTGCAAGTTTCTACTGAAGGGTCAATCCTACTTTCCTTCTTTCTGTCACCATGCGTTCTCACATCCGTGGATCACAGACACGAAAAATCAATTGGATCAACAGTTCTATCTGGCAGAAAAGCCTATCCACCAAAAAAAAAAAAAAAAAAAAGTTACTTGTTTCCCACTGAATCAGAGTTGATCCGGGGCATTAATTTACCCACCAAGACAAAGAAAGTGGCCGAAGACCGAGTGGGGGAAAGAGTGGGATAGCTTCGTGCAGCAAGCCTGCAGACGGACCGCGCGAGGAAGCCGGACCCCCGACCTCACGCCGGTTTGACCCGGGGCAGCGCAGACCCCGCACCCTCCCGGTGCTCGGCGCTAAGCGCTCCTCCCCTCAGCGCTGTGGCGAGCTTCTCCCGGCGGGAAGCCACCCTCCGCCCCCAGCGCGACGCCAGCGCCGCCACCCCGCCGCGCCTCCCCGTCGGCCCGCGGCTCAGGACGGGCCGCCCCTCCGCCGGGGCACCGCCTCAACCCGCGACACCCTACCACCCGGGCGGGGGCACGGCACGGCACGGCACGGCACGGCACGGCACGGCACGGAGGCGAGGGCAGCGCTCCCGGTGCCGGTCCCCCGCCCCCCTCGCCCACGGCCCTGAGGGGGAGAGGGGAGCCGGGCCCCGCCCCCGCGGCGCGCGCCGCGGCCAGCCCAGCCAATCGGCTGCCGCAGCGCGGGGCCCCCGCCGTGACCGACAGGCGGGGGCGGGCGAAGGCGCAGCGAGTGGCGGCGGCGCCGCGATGCGCGGAGCGGGGCGGGAAGGGCGGCGGAAAGAGCAGCGCCGCTGCGTACCCGCCGGCGGCGCGGCGCCTCCCCGCCAGGAACGACCGCCGCCCGGTACCCGCGTAGTACCCACAGGCTGAGGGGGCTGCGGGGCTTTCCCCGCTGCCCGCCCGGCGCATGCGCGGTTTGGCGCGCGGGCAGCGCGCGCCGGGAGGGGCGGTGGCGGGCTGTCTCGAGCACCGGTGATTGGCCAGCCGCCTTTTGCTTCCCATCCCGATTGGCTGCCCACCGCCCGGCGGTCGGCGGGGCGAGACTTCCGGGCGGGGCGGTGCCGTCTCAAAAGCGCCCGGATGCGGGACCGGCTCGGAACTTTCCAGAAAAGTCGGGATCGGTGCCGGGCGAGCCGCCGCCGGGGTGTGCGGGACTGCCCGCTGCTCAGTGGCCGTCCTCCGCCATGGTGAAGGAGACTACCTACTACGATGTGCTGGGCGTGAAGCCCAACGCCTCCGCCGAAGAGCTAAAGAAGGCCTACCGAAAATTGGCTCTCAAGTACCACCCTGACAAGAACCCCAATGAGGGCGAGAAGGTCGGCGGCGGGACGGGGCGGGACGGGGCTGCGTGACCGGCTGCCCCGGGATGTGCTGGCGCGGAGGGCGAGGGGACCGGCCGGGGAGGCTTGGGGGGGGGTGGCCGGGGGCGGGGGGCCCGCTGGGATGCTGTTTGGGGTTTCAAGGCGCGGATGCCTGAGGCACGATCTCCGTCTCTCGCAGTTTAAGCAGATTTCCCAAGCTTACGAGGTACTGTCGGACCCGAAGAAGAGGGACATGTATGACAAAGGAGGCGAGCAAGCCATCAAAGAGGGTGGCTCCGGTGGTGGATTCGGGTCACCCATGGACATATTTGATATGTTCTTTGGCGGTGGTGGGAGGATGCAGAGAGAGAGACGCGGTAATGTGTCATCTTCCAACACTTTTCCTAGACTTTTACAGCATGACTGCTGTGTTAGGCAGGATCAAAGTCTCCGAGGAGAATGACAGAGATATAAGACTTTAAATACCATTAAAATGAAGTTACAGGCTTGATCTCAAAATGAGAGAAAGCATCTCTAGCCCTTAGCACCTGAAACGAGCAGGGGAAAGCACTTGGTTCATACAGTGGTAGTTTGCTCTCTTGTGTATTGTCTCATGTTAATAGCTAACCAGATTTCATATTTGGAAAGCCTTCAGCTGAGCGTAAGCCCAGCTGTTATTAGGCTGAACAGGAAACAGAACGGTAACAAAGTTTAAAATTGTTTTTAAACTAAGCTGCCATAAGTGAGCTAGTGTCTGAATGTTAATTTTGTCTTTAATTGCGAGTAACAATGTCTAAATAAGATAGGCAAATCAAATTCAGTTTGTGAAACCGTTTTTTTTTCCTGTGCTGTTCAGTGGAATTGAGTGAAGCTGCAGTAAAATGCTGCTCAGAAATTAAAGTCCAGAGTAATCACAGTGTGATAGACTCCAGTATTAAGCTGTTGAAGAGTAGTGCTGAACCCATCACTTCTTAGTGTAAACGTGGTGATAAAGGGAAGAAAAAAAGAGTTTGTGTCAAAACGTTAGTGTTGTATCAGAGTATGTCTAGTAAGCCAGAACCTGCTATCCCTCACAAAACTAAGCTTGGAGTAGCCAAAGTTCTAATGAATTCCAGAGTGTAAAAATGTAGTTACTCAATTCAGTTTCCAGGAAGTCCCCCGGTGAGAGGAAGAAAGTACTTTGCTGACTAAACAGCATCCACTTCCTTCCAGGAGACACTTAGAACTGAAGTCCTGCATTATAAAACTTACATGTCTCTGTTATTGTTTGTGCTTTCACAGAAAGCTTTTTCTACTGACTTTTTCTGACAGAGAAGCGTTACTGACAGAGCAATCAGAACTGTTACCTAATTTGACATCAGTTAGGAAGGGGCTCTTGACTAATAGTAGCAAAACGAGATAAAGCTGTATTAAAACAGGATGTTAAAGCTCATAGACTTGGTTTATCATGACTTGAGTATAGTGACCTGGGAAGTTTACTGTTACTTGGAAACCAAGCTTTCAAACTTGAGTAAGTATCCATTTTCTTTTATAGGCAAAAATGTGGTCCATCAGTTGTCAGTAAGTTTAGAAGATATGTACAATGGTGCAACAAGGAAACTTGCACTGCAGAAGAATGTTATCTGTGACAAATGTGAAGGTAACTATGAAGCTGAAACTAAAATTGTTGCTAAAGCTTTTTTTTCTAGCAGTGCATAACCATCTCTCTTCAATTTTAATTCTCCTCAGGTCGTGGTGGTAAGAAAGGTGCGGTAGAATGCTGTCCTAATTGCAGAGGAACAGGTATGCAGATCAGAATTCACCAGATTGGACCAGGAATGGTGCAACAAATCCAGTCCGTGTGTATGGAGTGTCAGGGGCACGGGGAGCGTATCAGCCCCAAGGACCGGTGTAAGAGCTGCACTGGGAGAAAAATTGTTAGAGAGAAGAAGATACTAGAAGTTCACATTGACAAAGGTGAGATGTCTTACTAGGATGATGTACTGTCTGACTTCGCTGCACTAAAACACAAGCTTTAGCAAATGCATGGTGTTGATTTGGTGAGTAACACTGTTGAATACATGCAATGTAAAAGTGCCTGTTGCTGCCTTTAAAAGTAGGAGACTTGTTTTTATCGAAGGTTGGTTACTTCTACGTTTGCATCCAATACCTGTGCACATAATTAAGAATCAGTTCTGAAATCTGCAGTATTGTAAGCGGTGAATTGCTTTAGAGCAGTGTGAGTCTTGATCAGGTGGCCGGACCGACTAAAATAAAACTCATCTCTTGTTGTCTCGGCTTGCCTAATGCGTTCTCACTGCCTTAGGGAAACCCTGCAGACTCCGATCACTTCTGCTGTGTTTCAGTGTGAAGGGGAACCAGGTCTGCTATAGCAATAGGGTGCAGAGACAGTGCTAAGCCTCTCATGCTTAGAACTCTGTTTGCTATGCAACCCTGACAGCACTGCTCAGTGCAGGTAGTTTTTGCCTAGCAAAATGCAACTCAATATGCAAACCCTCACAGTGATGGGCGAACATGAGTGTTGAGTGACAAATGCATCTCTGTTGAGGAGGCTGATCAAAAGCTGGTGGGAGAAGTCTCTGGAGTAGTGCAGATTGTAAAATAGAGCAAGCTGACAAGCACGTGGCTTATACAGACTTGGGCCTGATTATGACCTGCAATTGTTTTGTGTGTAAGCACACCTTATGCAATGCCTGGATTTGTTCTTAGCAGGGAAAATCCTACAGTAATCTTTAATATGAGGGCTAGTAGGGATATATTACTGAAATTTTAAACAAGAAAATCACTGAGTAGAGTTTCTTTTCCCTTCCTTTTAGAAAAACAGACTGAGCTAGCATGGAGCAGCTAGAATTTATGGTAGAGAGACTTGTGGGTGTGAAATAGTTTTCATATGTGACAGTTACAGTTCAAAGGAGAGTGCTTCATGCACTCGGCAGGCACTGAGATGGTGTTTCGCAAGCAGCTCTGCTACATATTTTTTTTTAAACTGAAAGTTGATAAAAGCTGCTTGGTCAGTAGCTCTCAAGAGGTATTTTCTATGCAGTATTTCTGTTTTCTTTTTAGTACTCATGCCTATAATGAAAGCAATTTTGGTAGTTTCCCTTAAAGACTTTTGTCTTGGCAGGTGCCTGTTTTGTACTGCAGTTACGCTTAACATTCTTGAGACATAGTTGAGGTTGGCACCACTAAAATAGGTTGGATGTGTCAGTGGATTAAAAAAAAAAAGAATGCATCAAGGGAACATCCTGATGTTATAATTTAAAGATGCAGAGATCTCTTGGTACCAGCTTGTGCCTACAAAAGTATTTATTATTGCTGCTTTTCACTTAAAAAGATAAAATGTTTGGTTGGTTGGTTGTTTTTTTGGAATAGGAATGAAGGATGGTCAGAAAATAACATTCCATGGTGAAGGGGACCAAGAGCCAGGATTGGAACCAGGGGACATTATTATTGTCTTGGATCAAAAAGACCACTCTCTATTTACAAGGTAAAAACTCTGGAAGTCCTTTGTGTTAACTCCTGAGATGCTTGTCCATGTGTTTCCTTGGTTACCACTCACCTTCTATTTATTGAAAATACCAGTAGGTAGGATCATGTGGCTAGAACTCACCTGTGAGTTTGTTTGGGTGGCCAAAAGAGCACTAGGATGTGCAGGAATCCTGGTAGAATTAGTCACAGTCACTCATGTTCTAGTAGTACCAGATATACTTATGTGAGCTTTGGCAGTGGAAGACGATGGAAGGCAAGCAAAACCACTTACAGTTATTGGGAGTTTACAAATCTTGAATTTTAAAGACTCTTTAAAATATTGAGATTTTGTTTAATAGGTGTGAGTATTTGTGATTATTTCCTTGCTCTTTCTAGGATAGCATTCTGTCACTTACTTCAGAATTGTCTTCAAGGCACAGAACTTCTGGTGTGTTCACTTTTGCTTAGGGCTTTTATTTATGACAAACTTACTGAAATATAGCATGCACCTTGCTGACCAAAGGTGGTTTCCCACACTTCATTTCCTGCCTGAGTGCACCGGGCAGGGTAATTAATCCTGTGTGTTCTTTCTTCCAAAAGCAGAAGTGACTCAAACAGCATTGACCGTGTCTCAAGTATTTCATGTTATTGGACAGTACTTCTTGGTGTTGCAAGCCTCCTTGTTCCAAGTTACTGTTTGTGGAATAAGTCTGTCTAGCGTGTTTTGGTCCAATTAAAAGCAACACTGGTCATCTTGCAGGAATGTGCTGCACTTGGTGTCTCACAGCTTCTGATCAGAGCAGTAACAGGGGAATCAGTTGATTTAGAGAAATCATTTGTCCCAAACCAACCACTGACATGTACTTGTAAATAGGAATGGTGAGTCAAAGGTTCTTGGGAGACCTGCAGCTGGTCTGCCTGACTGTACTGTATGGTGCTGAACTCTAGAAGCTGGTGCCAGCACTCTACTCAAAGAACGCTGAGCTCACAGGCTAAGAATCAGTACTTTTTGCTTTGGATAAGCTTACTCGGCTGATTTTTCTTAACTTACAGTGAAACCAGATACTGAATCAGCTATGTCAAAGGGACAGTTTGGGCCAAACTGTTTGCACAGTTACCTGAGTCTTGGAAGTCACAACTCTGCTGGCTTATTTTTGTCCATCTTTCTGCCTGCTGCCTTCAGTTCTAGTGTCCTTAGATAATCCTTGATGTTACTGGTTCTGTGGGGTTATGCTGAGGTCGTGCTACTCTGGGACAAATGGAATGTCCCCCCCTCTCTCAATAGAGTCTAAAATAAACTTTTCAGGCAAGTCTCCTCCCAGAGACCTTTAAAAACAGGGTGAGTGAAATAACTATAAGTTCTTTAAATAGGCTGGTAGGATTCTGCAGCCATTGAACATACAGTGCCTGCAGACATCACTAGCACTGCCATAATGAAGTGAGAATAGGCAATTAAAACAATGATGTTATCTCTCCTAGATATTTTTTGGTGCTTTCTAGAAGGGACTTCCATCATGACCCAGAGAGGCCATCACCTCTTCAAACTTCCCTAGTACCAGATCTTAAGAAAGCAGGAGTAACAGAATAATAGAAAGGTAGCTAATGCACTTAAAGTATTCATATACGTAAAGGAAGGGGTTAATTGCCTCAGTTGAAACGTTCAGGAGAATGAGAGATAAATTTTTTTTTTAATTGGGAAGGATGTGAAACAGGATGCAAGTCAACCTTGCTGTATTTATTTCTTTTCAATAAACACTTCTACACTTTGAATGGCTAGACTTGATTAGTGATGGCTCTCAGCATGGGTATCATTCCTGAAACTGATGGCTTGAGGTGCTGCATCAGTATTCTTTATTTAATTGCCTGTGCTTCTATTAAAATTTCAGCTTTATTGTCCTTGCGAAGTTAAGTACTGAAGTTGGATGTGATCCTTTTATTGCTTCTCCCTCTGACTGTTTCTGATTGATTCTGCCTTAGACGAGATGAAGACCTTCTGATGTCTATGGATATCCAACTGGTTGAAGCACTGTGTGGCTTTCAAAAGCCTATCACAACGCTGGATAATAGAACTGTTATTATTACCTCTCATCCTGGTAAGTGTTGGTTTGCTTTCTGCTAGAAGTCCAAGCATACAGTGAATGTAGGCTGGAAATTTAAAGGGACAGAAACACCCCATCTTGATGTATAAGGGATGTGTGATGATATCAAGCTTTTTTTCCTAGTATTCACAGTAAAAATCTTTAAACAAAGAAGGATTTTTGAATAGCAGTCAGCAGTAACTTTCTCTTTGCATGATATAGTAACAGACCTTACCTCATGGACATACTTGTATCCTGAGGATACCTCATGAGAATTGAAGGCCATGGGTGTCTGAAAACCACTTTTTCAGCCTTGGAACTGGTGGAGCACTTAATAAATTTGTAAGTATGCTTCCGAAAGGAAGCATAACAAGGTTACAAGAATGTAATGTAGTTGTCAACCTGCTTTCCTACTTGGAAATTACCAGGCAGTAAGTCCCTATTAGACTTACATATTGGTGTAGCTATCTTAACGCAATGTAGAAGGTTACTTAAATATTCAAGGGAGTTAAAACTAAAGCTGCTTCTATTACCTGCATGGATCCCTTCCTTTTTTTTTTTTCCTTAGGCCAGGTTGTCAAGCATGGGGCTGTTAAGTGTGTGTTGAATGAAGGTATGCCAATTTATCGCAGACCATATGAAAAAGGACGTCTGATCATAGAATTCAGGGTAAGTGGATCAGCTTACTTCCATGGCACAGTTAAGCATTGAATATTCATCCAAAATTTAGCCTCTAAGTAATTGCCCCAATCAAGAAGAGGTACCAGTTATTTGTATTTGTTTTCAACAATGGTGAAAACATGTAATCCATCAAACGGAACTAGAGAAAGCTTCTAGAAAATTGGTGCTGAAAGTATATTAAGTACCAGAAGAAATTCTTTGTATAGCTTGGAAATTTCCATTTGCTTGTGTCCTGGTTTCAGCTGGGATAGAGTTAATGTTTCTTCTTAGCAGCTAGAGTAGTGCTGTACTTTGGATTCAGTACGGGGTTTGGTGCAAGAAGAATGCTGATAACACGCTGATGTTTTCAGCTGCTGGGAGATCCAGGACTCTCCAACTCCCCATGTCCTGCCTGTGTGTGGGTGCACAAGGAGCTGGGAGGGAGCGGAGCCAGAGCACCAGACCCAAATAAACCAATACAATATTCCATAGCTTGTGATGTCATGCCCAGTATATAAAGGAGGGTCAGACGGGAAGGAGGGGATTCTCTCTCGCTTCTGGGATTGCAGTTTTGGGATCTTGGTATTTCAGGATCGCTGGCCAGGAGCTGGCTGGGTATCGATGGGTGGTGAGCAATTGTGCTGTGCATTGCCCATTTGTACTTATTATTGTTATTGTTTTATTTCAATTATTAAACTGTTTTGTATCTCAACCTAGGAGTCTCCTCTTACCTCTCCAATTCCCTCCCCCATCCCCCGGGCGGGGGAGGGTGAGCAAGCGGCTGCATGGTGTTTGGCTGCCGGCCATGTTCAAACCATGGCAGCCTGGCACATTCTTTAGTTTCTGTCATTCTGTAGGAAGGATGGACTAGTAACTTTCCCTGCTCTGGAGCAAAGAAGCAGGCTGCAAAATGCTTATTTCTTCTCCGGAGCGAAGCTAATGCTGAGAGCTGTGGCAGCAGGCTCTGTCTGCTCTGGTTTTAGAGGAAATTCAGCCATATGACTAATGCTGATATATCCTGTGCTTTGCTTCTAGGGTGATTCCAGAGAGCAGCCTGAGACAGAAGAAATGTTGGCTAAGATTTGGTTAAGGTGCTAAGAGTTAGATGCTAACTTCTCACAGGCATTAAAAAATAGCTTAGTGACTTAGATTTATTTTTAAGCACTGGGTTTAAGTCATCTGTGACTTTGGCGATGGAAAAAGCCAATTCAGGCAGACTTGAGTAACCTGAGTTCTTGATGATTTCAGGTAAACTTCCCAGAGAGTGGCTTCCTCTCCTCAGATAAGCTGTCTTTACTTGAAAAACTGCTACCTACAAGGCAGGACATAGAAGAAACTGAGGAAATGGAACAAGTGGATTTAGTGGACTTTGATCCATCTCAGAAAAGACGACACCACTATAATGGAGAAGTCTATGAAGATGATGAGCATCACCCTAGAGGTGGTGTGCAATGTCAGACATCATAAACAGGCCAGTGAATAACTTGTGATGCTTGTTTTGTATGCATTAGTGGACAAGTGAAGGACTACAAGCAGTTCACCCTCACTTCCTGCTATTTGTTGTTCTATCCAGCCATAGTTGTTTCTAAAAGCATAAAGAAATAAACTAAGTAATCAAACTGACTTTGCAATTTATATAAAGCTCCAGGATGCAAGCTCAAATGAAGTTGATTTGCACTTCACCCCTGCCTCTTGGTCAAGAAAACTCCCTTACCTGCTTTTCTTTTTTTCTAAGCCTTGTAATTCCTGTATCTGTGCAATTGCCCAGGCTTAAACTAAGATTCTGTGGTGGTCTTTTTAGGAATTCTAGATCTTATACTCTGTTAATAAAGTATGCACAACTACTTATAATTCATGATAAGATATAGTTAAGTTTGTACCAGTTAGGATGACATGTTAATGTACTGGTGTTTGTTAAATAGGGACTGGCTCTAATGCAGCCATATTCTATGTGAAGCTGACATGGGTGTGGTCAATCTTCACAGGCCCATTAGAGTTGGGCACAAGCTCCCTCAAGCTACTGCACTTAAGAGTCAAATAGTCCCTTCCTCTGCCAGCTTTGGTCCTGACCCTGGAGCTAGATGTGAAGCTTGTTTTGTTTCATCGCTGCCTACTGTTTGGCTGCTATCCTGCAGCATACTGTGTATAGAGCCAGTGGTTGCTTCGCTGCTGCAGGAGCTTCTTTCACTACCACGCATGAGTAAAAACATCCAGGCTTTACCACCAGTGCAGTTTGGGATCTGTCAGCCTGCTGGCACATGAAGCTTCACTTCCACCTTTGCTGAAACCGGGTACCCCTCAGTGGTGTGTCTTGGAAAGCAGTACTAGCCCTGTTGGTGGATATAGGTGAAGCTGCAGATGAGAGAAACTTCCTGTCAGTACAACCAACTGATGCATCTAGGATGTTCTGAAATTAATGTATTGTGTGCATTATTTTGAGCTGACTCTGGAAAATTCTGTATGAATGTTCTAATTATTGTAGATGAAGCATTTCCAATATAATTACAAAATTGTTCATTGCCTCTTTTCTTAGACCAGATGTTGGTTTAAAGATACCACCCCCTTTTTAGAGAGCTATTCACAGAAAAATCTTAGCAAAAAATTCTTTCAGAAAATATGCTGAGAAGACAGGTCCGGATTTAACCTCTAGAGTGGTAGTTTAGTCTTGTTCTACCATCTGGCTTGGGACAGTTGATGCTTTTCAAACTGCTTTGAAGCAAAAGTGTTACAAAGATAATTCAGTTTTCCTGAAAATAGCTGCTACATGACAGTATGTATGTTGTAACTTGAATACCTGGAAACTTCTTTGAGAACATCTCCAGCTCTTGTATTATGGGTTTAATTTTACAAAGAGCTGGTACTATGGTTTTGGTACCTCAAGTGTAGTTCCTTTTCAGGTACCTACAGAATAGTGATCACCTGCATGTTTCACCTACTTTTTTTTTTTCCTTTTTACCTTCTCAGAAGGAATAAAATGTCTTTCCAAATCCTACTTGAATGAGCTCATCCCTGAGCTGTGCAAATGTTACCAGCAGGAGCCTTTTCTCTACCAGGGAGACAGTTTGGTTGAGTCAAGGGAAGAAACAAAGTAATCCTACCTGCACAACTGTTTTGAAACTAAACACCACTAAAATATGCTACTTGTTTTCAGGTCAGTAGGCACCCTTGCTTTTTCGGTAACCAGTGGATCAAAACTGCTAGGGCAAACCAAGCTTGGTGCAGTGCCTTGAGGATGACAGCAGGACATTATTTTGCTTCAGATGACTGTACTATATAAAAAAAAACATTGCATGGCCTTTTTTTTTCAGGGACACTTTAGTTTTCCTTTCACAACACTCATAGCTTCAACACAGTTGAGGTAATTTTTCTGTTCCTGACTTATTCTCGAGATGGTGATGGCCAATTCTGCTTCATGCTTGATGATGAGCCAGGTCTAGCTTCCATGAGGGTGGCTGACCAGAAGCCTCCAAAAGATTTTGCAGAGCAGCCCACGTAAAGATGCTACTACTAATGCAGGAAGGGCAGCAGAAACACCACCAGTTTAGCATTCTGCTTTGAAATGAAAAGCAATGTCCCAAAGAAGTACACTGACAGCAGTAGTGTACTCCTTCAGCAAAAAGCACTAGCAAACAAACACAAGAGCTAGCAAGGAGGACCCAGCCTTCAGACCTTCAAGTGGGATATTGAACACAGTGTATGCCCTCTTCCAAGCTTCTTAGTCCTCTTGTGACATTCTGGGTGTCACAGCTACAGCAAGCAGGAAAACGTGTTCTGTGCCACTGAAAAATGAAATAAGACACTTTTTTCTGATTTCTTGTTGCTCTGTGTGGGATAGTTTCCCATTTTGGGGAATGAACTGAATGGACAGCTGTAGAAATTGAGGACACAGTAGCACAAAATAGCTGCTTTTGTAACTACCAGCATAGTAATCCAATATACCATAACCTGAGTTGATATTTGCAATTACTTCCAGTGTTTCAACACCTCCAAATTTTTATCATCAAGTTTATAGTATATTACAGTGATTCTCTCCACTGTGCACCAGGCATATTGTTTTTTCCCCAGAAATCTAGTGGCTCCACTATTCTATTCCACAGGTTTGCTGTGAAGCTGAGAACACCCACTTCAGACTCATTTAAGAGCCTGCTCTAATTTTTAACTTCTGTCTGTAAGACTTGAGGGCCCCAACTGTCCTCTGCTCCCTGTGCTTTGTCTACCTGCTACACAGCAGCAGTGCAAGAAGTTTGCTCAGCCCAGGGGAGTAAATTCAGTGATCCCAAATCTACTTTGACCTTGCAGTGTGATGCAAAGTCAAGCAAGAAAAGCAACTTGCCTTATGACTTTTGCATTAGCAACTTCATCTGGGGAGACATGTTCCTGCTTCCATTTGTGATTGATTGGTGCTCAAATCATTATTAACACACAGTGAGAGAATAAAGGTTTTATTGAAGTTGTCCTTTTCCAAAACCACAGAAAAAGAAATGCCACATTTCATGTTTTCTTAGGAGGTAAGATGAGCACTATGATAGTGCCCAAAGAATGGGGGACTTCACCCGCTCTGCTGACAGAATGACACAACAGGATATAATAAAACCAGGAGGTTCCTGGTTTTATTGGTGAGAACTTCCTGAGCCAAGTGATAAGGAGTGATTAGCCAAGTCAACAAGGAAAGCTGGTCTGCTGGACCTCATACTCACCAACAAGGGGCTTGTTGGGGTTGTAAAGGTCAAAGGCAGCTTGGCTGTGGTTCACAATCCTAAGAAGAAGGAGGAGGATAAGAAGCAAGCTGTCAAACCTGGACTTCAGGAGAGCGTGCCTTGGTCACTTCAAAGGTCTATTTGGAAGCATTCCATGGGATAAGGCCCTGGAGTGAAGAGCGGCCCAAGAAAGCTGGTTAATATTCAAGGATCACCTCCAGACTCAAGAGCAGTCCTTGCTAATGAATAGGAAGTCGGGCAAAAATGCCAGGAGGTCTGTGTGGATGAACAAGGAACTCCTGGCCAAACACAAAACCAAAAAGGAAGCAACCAGAGGGTGTAACCAAGGATGGTTGGGAGGAACACAAAGATGTCCAAGCATCCAGGATGAAGTTATAAAAGCTAAAGTTCAACTGGAGTTGAATCTGGTCAGGAATGTCAAAGACGACGAGGGCTTCAATAAGTACTTAGGAGGAAAAAGCTAGGGAAAATGTGGACCTGTTGCTGAATGAGGTGGGTCACCTGGTTACACAGGACATGGAAAAGGTTGAGGTACTGAATGCTTTCTTTGCCTCAGCACTAGCAGCACTGGCCTTCAGGAATCTCAGATCCCAGACACCAAGAGGAAAGTCTAGAGCAAGGAAGATGTGACCTGATTCTCATCCCCCAAGGGTGTAGAAGACTTATACATAAATTGGTGTGCCCCCATGGGATGCACTCACAGTTGTTGTGGGAGCTGTCAGTTGTCATTCTGAAGCCACTCATTAGAATCTTTGATTCGTTATGGTGACTGGGAGAAGTGCCCAAAGACTGGTGGAAAGGAAATGTCACTTCTGTTTTCAAGAAGGGCAAGGAGGATCCAGGGAACTACAGGCCTGTCAGCCTCACCTCAGTGCGTGGGAAGGTGATGGACCAGCTAAACCTGGCACATTTTCAGGCACATCAACAAGAAAATCATCAGTAGTCAGCATGGCTTCACCAAGGGGAAATTATGCTTGACCAACGTGATAAACTTCCACAATGAAATGACTGACCTGGTAGGTGAGGGGAGAGCAGTTAATATTGTCTACCTGGACTTCAGTAAGGTCTTTGACACTGTCTCCCATAATGCCCTCATAGAGAAGCTACATGGATAAGGAGTGAGGTGGATTGAAAACTGGATAAATGGCCAGGCCCAGAGGGTGGTGATCACTGGAACAGAATCTAGTTGGAGACCAATGACTAGCAGTGTACCCCAGGGGTCAGTACTGGGTCCAGTCCTGTTAAACATTTCCAGTTATGATGTGGATGGTGGGACGGCATAAACCCTTAGCAGGTTTGCAGATGACACAAAACTGAGAGAAGTAGCTGATAGAAGAGGGTTGTGCTACCATCCAAAGGGACCTTATCAGGCTGGAAAAATGGACAGGCTAATGGGAATCTCATGAAGGTTCAAAGGGAAGTGCAGCCCCAGGCACCAGCACATGCTGGGGGTTGTCCAGCTGGAAAGCAGCTGGGCAGAGAAAGAACCTCAGTGTCATGATGGACACCAAGTTGAACATGAGCCAGTAATGTGCCCTTTTTGGAAAGAAGGGTAATGGTATCCCAGTTGCCAGAGGTGACCCCTCCCCTCTACTCAGCACTGGTGAGACCACAGCTGGAGTACTGTGTTCAGCTCTGGCCTACCCAGTACAAAAGCAACACAGACATAGTGGCAAGAGTCCAGTAAAGAGCCACAAAGATGCTGAGGGAGTGGAGCATCTCACATATGAGGAAAGCCTGGGAGCTGGGCCTTCAGCCTGGAGAACAGAAGATTCAGGGGGATCTCATCAATAATATATATAAATACCTGAAGGGAGGGTGCAAAGAGACGAAGCCAGGCTCTTTTCCAGTGGTGCCCAGTGTCAGGACAAGAGACAATGGCAACACACTGGAACACAGGTTCCCTCTGAACATCAGGAAACTCTTTTTACTGTGAGAGTGACTGAGAACTGGCACAAGTTGCTCAACAAGGCTGTGGAGTCTCCAACCCTACCAACCTCAGACATCCTGTCATCCTGTGAATAAAACTTGGAAGAACTTATTTGTTGATTTGGCTTACAAAGCTTTTAATTCAGAAAGACAGGAAAAGTTTAACTAGTTGGCAGCAGCACGTGCCTGCTCCCAGACAAGCAAACACCATTTCCTGCACAACAAAGCAGAGGCAGAGAGGCCGTATCAGAATAATTTGTTACTATGCAGGGACACAAAGAAACTGAAGGTTTCATTACCCTGTTTCATAATGCAAGCAGCACCTATTATAGGTAAAACTTATGCTTCCCTCACTTGAGCAGCATCCATCTCCTTGTATCTTGTTCCACGGGGAGCCAAAGAATTCCCACATATGATTACTACTCTGCTGTCTGAATAAAATACTTAGCAATCTTTCTCCTTAGGATTCACCTGAAGCCTGTGCTTTTCCCCCTGATGTTCAGATCCAAGTTCGCTCAGCCTGTCTGTCACAAGTCACCATGATCCACGTGGTCACAAGGTTTCTTCACAGCTATCCAGTGAACACACTGGAGCTCACATCAACAGGAACTACAGATGGAGTAACCCTAAGGACTCCTAAAACCCATGCAGACTACTAGGCAGAAAGAGAAGATGTACTTGAAGAGCATTTATAACTGATTTTTAGCATCATCTTTCCTATAAATCTCTGAACTATATTTTCTTTCTCTTATCTCAGACTGAACACTGGTGTTACCAAGCTGCCCCTGATCAGAAGCAGGCCCTCTCACCTCTCATGGTTCAAAATCCTCAGCAACATGCAGAATCACAAATTCACAGGGTCTGGCAGGCATCCATGGAGATTGTCTAGTCTCAGACCTGTGAATTTGGAGGCTGTAAGATATTCACAAAGGTTCTTTTCCTTTTCAGATCAGCTCTTCAGTTTTCAGCTGGTCTCTCTAAATCTTACTAGGACTCAAGGGAGGGTTTGAATTTTCTTTGCAGATAGCAAGCTGGTAGTGGTATCAGAGCAAGACTACACCCCTTATCTACAGGCTCACGTTACTTAGACAAAGTATTACCCCAATATCCTGGGCTTGAGTGAGTGGTGGAGTTTTTTGGTGGCAGGGGAGGGGGCTATCGGGGCGGCCCCCTGTGAGAAGCTTCTCGAAGCTCCCCCAGCTCCACGTCAGCTCCACTTCTGTTTGGGAAATTGAGCCAATCGGCTGCGCCTCTGCGATAACGTATTTAAGAAGGGACGTGATGACGGGCAGTGGGACTTGTGAGAAGGAGTTGCTGCAGCTGCATGAACACCAAGGTCAGTGGAGGAATGGAGGAAGAAAGGAGGGGGGAGGTGTGCCGGAGCAGAGACCCCCCTGTATCCTGTGGTGAGACAGCAGGGCGGCCCCCCCTGACACCCATGAAGATCTACGGTGGAGCAGACATTGATTTGTGGCCTGTGGCTTCTGCCTGCAATAATCAAGGTTCTGTGCCCGGAGAAGGCCGGGGTCTCATGGGAAAAGGCAGCCCTGCTGATGTAATTCAGCGCTGGGAGGATTGCAGCATGCGGGGGTGTCCCAGGCCAGAGCAGCTCGGGAAGGGCTGCAGCTGTGGGAGAGAATCCAGTCAGAGGAAGTTAGTGACCCATGATGGAGCAGTGTGGGGAACGCTGCGGCCCATGGGAGGAATTCAAGTCAGAGAAAGCTTGTGGAGGACTGTCTCCTGTGAGAGGGGGACCATGATGGAGCAGGGAGTAACAAGTTCCAGACACTCCCCTCACCAAACATGAAGGAAGTGGCAGCGCTGACTGCACCGCCCATTCCCTGCCCCTGCGCCACTGGGGGAGGAGGTAGAGATATCGGGAGCAGAGCTGAGCCCGGGAAGAAGGGAGGGGTGGGGGGAAGGCGTTCTCAAGATGTGGCAATGCTTCTCACTGTCCTACTCTGTTATGTGTTGTTAGTGTCTGTAACAAATAAATGTTCTTTTTTCCTTCCCCTAACAAGTCTGCCTTTCGCTCGTGACCATAATGGGTGATTTGCCCCTCCCAGTCCCATCTCAAACCCCAAGCCTGGCTCATTTGTCCCTTCTCAGTGCCAGAAGAGAAGGGGGAGAGAGTGGTTGTGTGGTGTTTGTCTGCCAACCAGGCTCAAACCACAACACCCAATAACATTAAAAGAAGTTACATCACCACTTGTATAACTGTGCAAGAACCTAAGCTTGCCTATTTTTTGCAGAGATGGCAGTAGCTATTCCACATACATTCTGCAAGCACATACAAACACACCCAAGCAAGGCTGAAATTCATTGATTCCTGGTTAAGATACAGGAAGATGAACCTACAAGAATTTCACTACATGGCACTACACCTGCAAATAATTTTGTACTCCTCTATGTGTGACAGAACTCAACAGGTCCAAGCAAAATAATGCAAAAATACAGCAAGGCCCATGGGTGAACAACGCTTTCTTTAATATTGGTTAAAGCACTAGATGTTGCCTTGTTCAAGTCTTACATACAGGTAGGTGGCGTAACACTAGCCTGATTCTCCAGAGAGAAAATGTCTTCCTAGATTGTATTAAAAAAAAAACCCACATTTATTAAAAAAAAAAAAAAATACACTTTACATTAAAAACAATTAATGTTTCAGGATTATCATTGTTCTTGTGCCAACTGCCAGCTATTTTACAAGCTGCAGTCCAGGAAGTAAGTTTTACCATTGCCCTTTCATAAGTAATAGTATATTTTGCTTTTTTGACTGGAGAACTTGACACAGTAAACTCTGAAACTGTTAAAAAGAATAAGAAATGCCAGATTTTCTCACATCTTTAAGCTAGAGAATGTATTTCAATCCTTAAACATTCAGGATTCTGACAGTTTTGCTACAACTTACTTTCTTTTAAAGAACAATGTAATATATAGTTTACATTGAGGATTAGCAGGTCTGTATAGTTTGAAAGCAAAATGAACCACAAGTTAGATAGTATTAAAAATATTTTGTTAAGATCATCTTCTGTATCAAAAGTACTAATTGCTAATGGAGCTTGCCAGAGGTATTACTGTCAGATATTTCTGAATCAGTCTTTTTCAGGCAGGAAAAATAATCACTGTTTGCTATTGAAAAAATAAAATTATTGCCATATCCAAGGAAGTAAAAAACAACTTAGGAAATAAAGCATTACAGTTAAACAAAACTACACACTACAGCTGCACTGAATAAGCCATCCTATGCTGAAAGCTGAAATTTTTCCACATTTCATTAGACCCAAATGAACATGGACCAATCAAGAAGACTTAGAGATGGAGGCCGGTCACCAGCTAACAACCATTATTATGTTCAAGACCTCCAGCTGAAAAAAATTTTGAGGATATTTAAGTTTGAACTAAGTCATTAAAGAGAAGTTACTACGGTTTGAAAGATTACTGGGACAGAAAAGCATTATACAAGAGATGAGGACAGGACACTGCAGCAGATTCAAATCTACATACATTTGTCTAGTCATTACAGACAAAGCCTCTTTTTTTGTTGCATCCTGGAAAAACTATGGTCAGACTTTAGAAGATGCTGGTGTACATTCACAAGAGTGAATTAGTTAGAATCACAAATGGAATCACCATCTGCTCCAAACTGAAGAGCATGAAAGCTGCTTTTTATCATAGTGTGGGACCTAAGTATCACCTTAACTAGATACACGGGTGTATTTTTTTTTTTTTAAATCTTAAATACCTAAAGCTTCAGTATGCCATGCCCTTTTGAGAAAATAGGAAGCTAAACCGAGTAAACTGTAAAAAAAACCCCAAAACTGCAGCATGTGCAGTATTACAGCACTACGAATTTGGTCTATGTAAACTAGGTTTTGCATGTTTTAGAATATTGATCCTTTGAGATCTGCTTCAGTTGAAGCTGGTCTGAAAACATTACATACTTATTGGAAGAGGGCCCAGGTAATAATTCCTTTTAGCCTGGAAGGAAAACAAAACAAAAAAACAAAAACAAAAAACCCCAAACCAATGAACCAAAAAAATGACAAAAAAAAAAGACAAAAACCAAAAAATAACTGCCATGTTAGGCAGGTATATAGCAGGAAGTGCTGGGAGATGGGGAAGATTAGTTTTTTTCCAAGGAAGCTGCGTGATACTAAATACGTATAATCGGAAAAATTATACTGAAAATTGATCACAGCAAAACCCACTGGACTAGAAAAGCCCCTGCCTTCAAGCTGAGGACAGAGTAGCCTCATCTGCATTCCAGGAAAACTGCCTTTGCTTCAGTAAGAAGAGACAGTTTTCCCACTCCACTTTCTTTATTCAAATAAAGAAAGTGTTTTACTGTATTCTAGGAAGTCAGCAACCACTTTTAAGTGTATCTAGTTCCTAGCTCATTCAACTTCTATAAACACTGCAGGAAGAGTACAGACTTCAGGAGACAAAAAACACTCACTGAAGTTGCTTCAGCTACTCTGGTAAAAATCAAAGTATTTGAAATTACTGATGCTTATATTTAAGCATCAGTCTACCTAACTTTAGGCCAAGAAGTTAAAATGTCATTCTCTGGAAACCTGAAGAGAAAACTGAGCAAGTAACACACACTGTGCATTTAAACCTGGTTAAAACACAAACACCAATAATCTGCAACTAACAGGCGCACTTCATAGCTCATTGTAAAATGCAACTATGGCTTCCAGAGCTTGAGGAGGCCATCTTCACTGTAAGTGGCGATCAGGTTCTGGTGGGGGTGATGAGCAATGCCAATGACATCTTTTTCATGAACCTAGAGAATAAGCAGAAAAGATGCATCAGTAAATTCTTCCTTTAACAAATTCAAGCCAAATATTCTCTTCAAACAAGAACTAGAGGAAAGCTGGACGGAGGTTTAACATACTTCATGCATACAGCAAAAGCAGAGTAACATCCTCCCCAGTATTAAGTTCCCATTGCAAACAATTTTTGTGACAAAAGTTACTTTTTGTTGGGCGAGGGAAGGTTCAGTGAAAGTTTACATCCACTGTAATCCACAACATCTAGGTGTTTGCCATTAAATTCAGACATGCAAGCTGGTATTCCTCTTTAGTTTAATGCAAGGCAAATTTAAGCCTGACAGCTTTAAATCTGACAGCTTGGTCCGATTCTCCACCAGCCAGAGCCCAGGTCAAAAGATGCTCTAGTTCAAATAAGGTTGAACCAATTCACTCCTGGGTTGGTGGGTAAACATTTTCATAGCTTTTGTAATTAAAATGGTTCTTAAAGAAAAAAAAAAAACAAACAAACCTAAAGACTAAAGCCAATCATGGATGCCAGAGGGGAGATTCATTGGTATGAGACTTGTTATGGACTTCATTAATAACAAACATATAGATCATCCTTGCATTTAGAATTCTGCAAAAGCTCAAAACTAGGAACTTACCGTCAGAGTTCTCTCTAGCTTGCCAGTCACTGTGCTAAAGCAATAGAGCACAAAATCTTCACCAACACAGTAGATCCATTCACCACGAGGTGAAAGTGCAGAGCAGACAAAGTCACCACCTTCCCTCTTACCAGAGCTAAAACTTCTTACAATCTGTAAAGATAAGCCCCCCAAAATATTTGTCAGGATTAAACTGTGGCACATCATCACTATGTTCCAGGCAAAAATATTTAGGCAGTACTAGGTCTGTTTAGAACACAGGATCTCTACATAGCTGCAGATGCTCTCTGCAAATCCAGATGTTCTATAAACTGGGCACAGAATAGTTTGTAAGGAAAGGGCACTGGATAAGTCATCTTTAACCCAAGGCTAGTTATTAACTGGGGTTTTGGCATTCTTAAAATGACAGAGAGAGATTTGAAAGGACACCAATAAGATCACATACTTGTCCTTGCATATTCATAATGACGACTGTATTCGATCTGTTGCAAACAACAAAGTGTTCTGGGTTTTTAGGCAGAAGAATCACACTGTTCACTGTAATGTCTGTCCCAGCAGTGCTGCCAAGAGATTTGAAGGTGTTTGAGCACTCTGTCGTCTTCACATTCCAAACCTAGTACAAAAATAAATGTAGAACCAATTAGCATTTTAAAATTAAACAAAAATAAGATGACTGAGGATACAGGATTCAGATTTTTAAGGTGCCTGAAGGGAAATATGAATTACAAAAACTGTAATTTATAGCAGATTTGAGAAAAAAATTATCACATCTATTTTGAAGTGTGGACATCAGGAACAATTTCACTACAACTGAACTGAAAGTAGATTTCCATTATACAAATTCAGCCTGGCTCCCTTTCATTAAACACTCCCTGCGGGGTAAGTCCAGACTTCCCTTCTGGTTTTAGCTGGTATCTGTGAAGACATGTGCAGCCTCTGCACATGCTATTTGCTTAACACAAGACAGACATAAAAATCAATGAAAAAGCAAAGTCTGGTATCTGCAGGAGAGATATCCCAGCTTACAGCTGCTTCAGGCTCAACATCAGCCTGTTCTAGCTGTTTAGAAACAAGAAATGGAACTGGCTGTTTAATATTTAAACTAAAACATTAATTCACCATCTGTGGAATATTTCTGCTGTTTACATACTAGTACAATCAGAATAAGGATACCACCTTTTTATGTTATTCCTGCGATTGAGGCAGTCTACAAAAGAGTGCAAGTTTGAAGTAATGCCCCATTTAATATGAGCAAAATCCATCACACTCTCCTAGGCCTCATCTGCAAACTTGATGTCTACCCACCCCCCATGCACTCCATCAATGCCCTACTTTATTTATTTATTTATTATTAGTCAGTAATGCGCTGTAAACAACAATGCTTTACTCCTCTTAACTACTATACACTGAGCAGTTCCACTCTGACACTAGGAGTCAAACCTATCACTTCTACAATCAGTTTCATTAATGCTAGATTACCTACATTACATGGCAAGGGACGCCTAAGCACGAAAAAAATAAACAGGTGTCCAACACAGTAAGCAAGAAAATGCCATTATTTCAGACAAGGGAATCCCCGCATTCTAAGGCAAGAGCTGTCACAGTCAATTCTATTTCTAGAATAAAGCAGTAACAGGCAGGCAAGTACTGCACTTCCATCCTCCTTTCACAAATACAGCAGAAATAGGCTCTGCAGCAGTCTGTAAGCACAGTATGAAACTTCATCAGTTCTCATTTACAATGATCTACAGAAAAGGTCACAAGCAAGAATACTTACTATTGCAGATAATCCCAAGTCCTTCTCCAATGACTGCATCAGTTACAACAGATCAGCTATAACATGCAGAATCTGAATGAGTTATTTACAAAGAGTAAATGCTATCTTACCTTCACTGTGCCATCAGAGGACGCACTGATAATATAGTGTCCATCCTGGGTAAAAGTAGCTTCATTGACGAAGGAAGAATGACCACGGAATTCCTTTAAAGTTTTTCCAGATTTTAAACCATGAATCCTGTCACACAACAGAGGTCACAATTAAGTGAGTAACTGAAGTAGTCCGAACCAACATATTTTAAATCTGAGATAACTCTGATAGGCAACAATAAAAAGAGCTAGAAATCCACAAGCCGCAAGTCTTTATGAGAAGCCCCTTCCAAAGACATGTGTTTCTGTGAAAAGTTTATGGAAATAACGTCACCTTCAGCATCAAGGACCTGTATGTAATATACACTGTATATACTGGAAGACAGGACTATGAAAGGGGAAACTATAAGGCTGACAAAACAAAAATTACATAATTGAGTTTGGAAGTCTAATCCAACAGACTCCTCAACTTCAAGTGAGGTCAACTTGCTCAGGGCTTTGACTAAGGCCTTGTCTGGTTGAGTTAAGAAAAATTACTTCCCTAAACCCAGCCACATTTTTCTTTTTTTGCAAGCTATTGCCATTGCCTCTTACCTAAGAAGAAATTATGTTGGTACTCTGTACCAGCCTTAAATGTAGTACCTACTGACTACAGAAACATGGTTTTCAAGCAGAAGTTTGAAGCCTTGAGAATTAAATTCCTTATCCCATTTGAAGCCTGCTGTCCTTGAGGCAACACCCAACCTTACATAATTTCAATTAAAACGCCTATGCTATCGTTCATATATATCATGATTTAAACAGATGAACATCTCTCATTAAGATGTTTTGTAATGCCTGTTCACCCTGCAATTGCCTCTAGATCCACACATTTGTTCATGTTCATCTAAAGCAGTACCATTTGTACGACTGGGTTTTACAGTACAGGCAAGAGCCTAAAACATATTACATAATCCCATTCTATGAAACATAACATGCATACAGTCATCAAGCACTGGATCAATCTGATTCACAATGTGATTCCCGTATCCTGCAACTCAATTTTGAAAAAGACAGATGAGGAAGTTGAAAACCTTGACACACCAGACAGATGGACCGAGATAAACCTCATGATGTTAAGAACAGATTGTTGCAGAACCACCTCAGGCACCACAATCAACTGGGGGCTGACTGGCTGCAGAGGAGGTCTGCAGCAAAGGACCTGGCCGGCCTTGTAGAACACAAAGTGAAAGGCAGCAGCATGCTGTGGCACTGAGGAAACGCAGCCACACACCAGATGCATTAGGAGAGAACAGTCCTTAGATGAAGGTTCCCTCCCTGCTAGGCAGAGATGTAGCCATCTCTGAAATAACGTGTCCTGTTCTGGGCCCCACTAAGGGGCCACCAAGACAGCCAGAGAGCTGGACTACATGATGCATGAGGAGAGGCTGAGAGGGCTGGGCATGTTCAGACCACAGAAGTGAACATTCAGGAGCACCCAACTGCTGTCTTCTTTGTAGGCAAAGAAGTTAAACAAATTAAGGAAATCAGAATAACCCCAAAGAACAGTAAGTGTGAACTAGACAAATCTGATCTAAGCTGCTTTCAACTACAGCAAAGTGTCTGCATAACAACAGAAGAGCTTTGTTGCAAACCAAATCTACCCAGTGAGGTACGAGCAGTGAGCAAACTCCACTCAGTAACAAGACACAAAATAGGTGCAGGACCAGAATTGTTGCACAACACGTTAAGCAACACTTTTCAGATGTTAAGAGCTGTAAAAACAAGGGTTGGATGAGGTTGCTGCCCATCTGGTAACTTAGATTAGTCACAAAAATACTCAAACTCTGTTCTATTTGCTAGTATTAAAAGTTACATTCAACTTTCATTTTGCTTTCATCTACTCTGCAATGATCCTTTATAAAAAAAGGAAAAATAAGAGGAAAAAATAAAGAAAAATTAGGAAAAAAAAAAGGCATATCTAAGTCCTTACTAGACACCTGAAAAATTGTAACTTTGATTAACATCACGACCTAACCAGTTTTTTACAGAATAAATGGAGTCAGATTCTTCTCAGAGGTGCACAGCTAGAAGACAAGAGGCAAAGGGCAGAAGTTAAAAAAAAAAAAAACAAAACAAAAACCACACAACCAAACAAAAAACACACACAGAGACCAAACGTCTGTCTTCATGTCTAAACAGGATATTCTCCAAGATGGTTGTACAGATGCCAAGAGAAGCAGTATGGTCTCCACCCATAGAGATTTTGAACTCAGCTGGACAAGGCCCTGATCAAGCTGTCCTAACTGAAAGGTTGATTGTTCTCTGAAAAGCATGTTGCACTAGAGACCTCTAGAGGTACCTTCCAAATTAAACTTTTATAATTAATGCCTAGTCTGCCTTACACAGGTTGCACAGACACTTGAGCTTTCTTAGAGCATGGATGCAAGCCTAATCACCTTCACACCTGCACCACAACAATCCATTGCTTTATCATGTTGTGTCTTAACAGACTATCTGCACACCAGGTAAGCTGCAGTAACGGCATGTGAGTCTTAGCATGTGGAAAGTGTCAGGTAATGACAAATATGTTCAGTTTAGCCCAACCACATTAAGAGGGATGTACTTCCTTGGATTTTCTGTAGACAGACCTCATATCCAACCGCTGTAACTGAGCTGACACACTATCAACCTGCTGAACTACACTAACCAGATCACACACCAAAGCAACTCCAAAGTCTATAGACTCAACTCCCATGCCTAGTTCCCCAAGATCTAAAGGCTTATGACCCTGTAACATCATGAACAGTTTCACTGCCCAAAAGGAATGCCACAGAGATTGGGAAATTGAACTATCCAGATCGGTTAAAAAACCCACATCTTACATCCCAAGATAGTGCTTGTGCTACAAGGGGTGGTTTGCATGAGAAACAAAGAATTTCCATGCCCAAAACCAGAACTGCATAGACAGCCTGGAGAAATGGGAAGTATCTTTTGGGAGCAAAGAAAAAAAAATGATCCTGTCTCTATGGCTCTTTTTCATCACTGAAAGAAGCTTTTTTTCTCTTGCTAGCATAAATGTATGAACCATCTGGTCACAAGATTTTTCTCTAACAGATTCCAAGACAGTGGTACATGTCAGATAATCAGAGTAACTTAGGCTGGAAGATATCTCAGAAGACCTCTATTCTATTGCTCTCAAAGCAACATCAACCTCAAAGTCACTCATGGTATTGTTCAATTTAGCTTTGAAACTCTTCAGGGGTTAAGATTCCCCCCCTAGCTTGACTCAACTCTCTCAGCACTGTCCAAGCACTGCTTCTTTCTCAGGGGGGGAAAAAAAAAAAAAAAAATAAAAATATAAAGATGTTTTTCCCTAGATACAATCAGAATTTCACTTCCTGAAGGTTGTCCCATGTAGGAACTGTGCACTTGAGAAGAGTCTGGCATTGTCTTATCTATGACTGCCTCTAGATAAGGCAACTAGATCCTTTCTCTCTTCCCAGTTCAGTCAGGCCCAGGTCTCTCAGCCTTCCCTTATACACTATGTGCATCTGAAGAGATACTCAGATTAAAACCCAGCACCCTAATTGACAGGAAAGGCTCTACTGCCATTTACAGATACAAATTGCAACTACTGCTCTTGAAGCTCTCAAGGTTTGTCAGTCTGGCTGTCTTCCAGGGTCAAAACTCTAGTATACTATGTCAGACTGCTGGGACAAATATATGCCTAAACATTTCCTTTGGGTTCGTCTTCCTCTTGTTCTCATTCTAAATGGATTTCCTTGGATCCAAAGGAGAGGGGTAGATCTGGAGGCTGGGATTAGAGAGATGGATTCAGGGCATGAGCTGGACAAGAACCCTTTTGCAGTAAGGGCTGGCAACGCATGATTTAGGGAGCAGCAACGTGATGCAAATTGATTGTCCCCAAACATGTAGAGATGCACCTTATCTCCTCTCAGCCACCTACAGCTCACAGGGACACACAGACCCTTATTCAAGCCCACAGGAGAGCCATCTCTATGGCTAATTGGGATTACCAAGCACTCTGGGACTTTTGGAAATTTTACTGTATTCAACAACTATCAAGAGGAAGCAGAGAAGATGCATCAAAATACTTAAAGCTGTTCTCTAAAGGATTTATTTAGATAGCAGGAAAAGAAGAGCCCATAATACCACTTCACAAGAAAAATTAACTGGATGGACCAACTACTGTCATATCACCTGTTAAAGCTAGTGAGTATGATTAGGCTGTTTAGGCTATTTAAAAAAAATATCATCCTGTTATCCTCAGGACCATTCTTCCCTCTAAGCTTATTACAAAAAAATCTTATTTTTGAAGGTGGTCATAACTGTTTCTTAAGCTAGGAATCACCCAGAAAGAAAATACACAAGGTCAATATAAATGACAACAGAGCAGAAGCAGTACTTGGCCCCTGGCCCAGGAATAATGCAAGGTAATCAAGGTGAAAGGTCAAACTTTCAAACTATTGCTCTCCAACCCTTAGCAATCATGCTCGCCTATTACTTTTAATACTCAATACTAAAGGTTCAAATCCCAGGCCAAACAAAACTATATTCAAAACTGCTTAATGTGAAAATTCTGAGTTTTCTCCTTGTACTGTAGCTCACACATTCTCAGTTTATTTACCTGATTGTCTGATCAAAAGAAGCACTAAGAATTTGGCTGCTGTCTTTAGAGAAACTGAGGCATGTAACCCCTTTACTGTGTGCTCGTTCAAATCTTCTCAGACACTGACCACTCTGGATTTTCCACACCTGGAGAGGAAACACCAAATGAAACAGAAGTAGTTACTTTGTTATGAGATCACAGAAGCTTACACCAGAGCCAGTACATATATTGCAACATTACTGAAACTGCAAGTGAATCTTTCTTGTCACAAGTTCTACCAACACACCACACAAAAATATTTGTACCTTGATCTTTCCGTCTTGTGCTCCAGTTGCTAGCATCTCTGTATCTCTACTGAAGCACATGCATAGCACTGCATCATCCATCATCATAAAATTATCTTGTGCCTGGTACTTCAGATCCTAAATGAAATCCAAAGATCCACCAGTCAAAATAGTGAAAACAATTAAATGTATTTTAAGGCAAAGTGTAAAAGTACTAGCAGTTTTAACTTCAGTTATATTTTAGAACCTATCATTGAGCTGTCCTCAATGCATTATAATAACAGGGATGTGCTATTGTTACCATTTTAAAGGCAAGAGTGATAAAAAAAGGTAAAAAAATGTTATTGCAGAGAGAAGTTTATAACAAACGAGACAATTAAACCCAAATAAAGATTCCAGTCTAATATTTGAATCACCCAAGCAGAGATCCTGTTCAGATTCACAGTCCCTGAGAAATTAAAATAAATATAATCTCAAAGAATAAAACCAGGTGCTCTGGACAATCTGTCCAGAATAGGTGCAATTTACCTTCCTGATCTTTCCAGTAGTGAAGTTCCATACTTCAATGAAACCATCAACAGAGCCAGTAACCAGATACTGTCCATCCGGAGAAAACCGAGCACACTCTACATGCGACTTCTGCCCAAACTGTTTTATAGGAGGAAATAAGCATAATTATGTGAATAAAAAATAAGCATTTAAAATAAGCAATTCATTAAAACAAAACTGTAGGCTCATTCTGGTGGCAAAAATACAGTATTTTCTAGAGGTATGCATTCACAAATTCAATGTTGATGTACAAAAAAACCCTGTCAATACTTATATAATAGCACTTAAAAAAAAATCACACACCCTTTCAGTCTGGTAATATCTGTGAAACATAGATCAAATACTCCATGCTTATAGCAGCATTTGGGTTGGTTGTCCTCATATTTTTGTTTTTGCAGCAAATTGTATCTTAACAAACACTTTTCCAGTACCCAATATATATCCCTAGCAGATTTCAGAAATTTCTGAATTACTACAAGTTGCTTCACTTGGAATGATGTTTCTCCAGTGAAATTTTGAAGAGAAAGTTTGGTATTTTTTAAATACAAGTGACCATGACAACTGAGACTAGAAAAAAGTTTTCACTAATTAATGTAAAAATCCAGGATCAGTACTGGTAAACAAAACAAGTTCTAATAAAGAATTTTTACCAAGCTGCTACTGAACACAATAAATTGATTTCACAAGTTCCACTTCATAACTTCAAAAAAAATATTATCTCCCATTCATTCTGAGAGCTGGTAGAGCTACTACAGGGAGCTAACACTTCTCACTGTACAGAGCTGCTTGGTGAAGTTGAAAAGCCTTCATGGGAGGAAACTGACTATTCCACACTGTGAGTGCTGCAGGACAACTATGTCATTACAGCAGTTTTCTTTGTCTTTTGAAATCTATATAATAATATATTTTAAAAGGAGATATTGATATTATTAGTAGACCTAGTAGGTAGTAGTGCATGACCAAAACCTAAGTGTTTCACAGAAGCTAATATGCATGCATGTAAGTTTAAGACATGAGTATTTCCTTGCATAAATAAAAAGGGGACTAAGCAAACCACTTCTGAAAACTGAATGATTCTGAACTGTGAGGTCAAAGAAACAATTAATAAATTTATCATAGTCAAAAATACCATGAGCACACATTCTTGTTAAGGAAGCTCATTTCAGACTCTCATAAAAAGTCTCATGAGAAAGCATGGAGATGGAAAAAAAAAAACACAAAAGAGAAAGAAAAATTACTTATAAAAAAATAATAGAATTCAGAAGGTTTACTCTTATCTCCCAACATAAAGCATAGGAAGGAAGCAGCAACACACACAAAAGCAAACACAACATCACCTTAATATGCCTACTCAGCTGCGTTGGAAACTTTTCTTCTTCTACATCTTTCACAGCTGCTTTGCCTCTGAACAAGTCAATTGTCATACCAGGAGGAAGCAGGCCCTGATGCTGCTGCCATTTCAGTGCCTTTTAAGGAGGTGAAAGCCATACAGTTAGGTATCAGTTAATATACATCTTCCTCATCAAAGCTTGCTTCAAATTAACACAATAGTTTCTTGTACCCTTACAAATTGCATACCTGTAAAATTTGAAACAAATGTACTGCACGTAATTACTTGAAACAAGCCTTAACAGATTATGCTTCCTAACTCGACCACAAACAGAATAAGGTTATCCTGAAATGTTTTTTGCAAGTGAGAATCACTTAGGCCCACCATGCTCAGTCTAACTTCCGTATGCAGTATACAGTATATACACAGGGTGAGTTCAATCTTGTGTTAATTTCAATTACCTGATCTGTTGTCTATTTGCCTAGAACTGCATACATAAAAACTAAAAATGACACATAAGCTTTCTTGCAAGGCACAAGTGAACTTAATTCAAAAGAGAATCTAATACAACCCCTTCAGCAGAGAGCTGCCTTCAGTCACAGGATACATGTTATGAATAGAGAATTTATTCCTCACTTACAAACTTAAAAAGTAAGATGTAAGCCACAGAATGACAAAATATAATAAATACTGCCTGCACAGAATATCAATGAATACATTCTGAGAATTGAAAGGAAAAAAAAAAAAGTTGTGTGTTGGGTTTCTGTTTGGGAGAAACAACAGGTGATGAACTGATCCCTAATGCCTCTGGGGGGAAGGCGGTAGAGAAATTGGAAATAAATCTGAGCCTGTAAGGAAGAGAGGGGCGGGGAAGGCGTTTTTAAGATATGGTGGTATTTCTCACTGTCCTACTCTGATTGGTAAATTAAGTGCTGGTGGTATTCAAATTAAATTGATGTTTTCTTCCCCTAAGGAGTCTATCCTTTGCCTGTGACAATAATTGGTGAGTCATCCCTCCCTGTCGTTAGTTACCCCTCCCGGTCCTTATCTGGATTCCCAAGACTTTTATGGTATTTTCTCCTCTTCATCCCTGAGGGGGAAGGTGGGAGCAAGAAGGTAAGTGGTGCTCAGTTGACCTTTGGGCTCAAACCAGGACAAAGTGCAACAACAGAAACAGTGTGTGTTAGTATGAACTTTGAAAATTAATCTTCTCTATGTACTCAGTATTTATTCTATGGGAAGAAATCTACTATTAGAGTGCTGACCTTTCCTACAACTGCTAAATCCTTGCCACATGGAGAAAATATTATTTTTAACTATACCACATGTAAATGTGCAATACTGAAGGTTTACTTTTCTGGAGTTGGAGAATCAACTACATCATAGTTAGTTTATGCAACCAAGATCTACAGAAACTGACACAGCAAAAATATTTTTCAAGAGTTACCTGTCCCAACAACGCCATAAGACGAGATGGAGGTACCACGCTGACTTCTCCAGCTAATGCTTGTGCAATGGCAGCTCTCCGCTTCTCTTTGCTACTTCCATCTGGGTATGCCTAGAGAGAAGTTATTTTCATCATTAAGTGATTCTTCTAAACCATTTTCCATAAAAACATCTGTTGCTCTGAACTGAAGTCTCTTCCAGACTCATTTTCTATTAGGCCTTCAAAACAACCCTTCTCTTTAACACCAACCCTTGAAACATTTAGAATATGTTTTCACTAAAAGTGTCAGACTGACATAATCAGCCAGGAATAATACCCTGTTATTGCTATTATACAATGACAATTTTATTTGCAAAATGTACATTTTCCCCTGCATATACAGGACAGGAAAAGCAAGGCACAGATGTCATCCTGTGGCAGGATACTGGTACAAGTCCCCAAACTCCCACCTGCAGTATACCTTAAAATCACTGCCCTGCTGCCTTGCGACCAAGTGTTATACCCCATTTCCCAAACACTTTGTAAAATGCATAAAATAATCAAGTTGGAAAGCTGCAAGTTCTCACTCCCAAAATGGAAAAGATGCCATAAGCCACTGGCAACTTGGACCAATGCCACAGGTCACGCAAGACAGCATCGTGATGTCTCTAGGAAGAGTGTAACATACCTCACGAGGATCAAAGTAAGATCTGGCCAGAAGGTTTTCGAGGTGGATGTACCGCTCTGGCTGAGTTTGTTTTAGCATAATCATGGGATCTGTTTGTCTCAGGAGAGACCTGGCAGCACCTAGTTCCCGGAGCTCAATCAACTCCAGCACAACCTGCACCGAGAGACAAACATCTGCATCAGTGGAAGGAAAGCGGCAGGCAGCAGAGAGGGGCTCCCACCCTGAGCAGCCCCGGGCATACGCAGCCCGCACCCACTCACCTGCTCGTAGAGATCAATGAGGGTCTTGTCGGGCAGCTTCAGTGACTGTATGGCTTGCAGCACTGTGTCCCAGTGCCCACTGTTGATGTCGGCCACAAAGCTCTCGATACTGTCCACAGTATTGAGGGACACAGTTGTTTCCTCCTGCAGGGTGGCAAGGGCTCGGTGGAGGCTGTTCTCTTTCAAGTATTGCATGATCAGCCGGATCACGCTGCGGGAAAGCGGGGAAACCAAGTGCAGTCACGGCACCGCCCTGCGGAGTAGGGGAGGGGAGGCTGCCCTTCCCCACCGTCACGGACCGGTCACCGCCACCGCGACCACCCTCACCTTGTGTCGTGTGTGTGTGTGTGTGTGTGTGTGTGTGTGTGTGTGTGTGTGTGTCTCGTCCCCCCACCGCCGGCGCAGCTCCCGCCGGCCATGCCGCCCCACAACGGCTCCCGCGGCGGCCCGGCTTCAAACGCTCCCCAACCCCCGGCACCACCCCGCCACCGGGACCGGGACCGCCACTGGCACTCCCCCTCCCCCGCCGCCGCCCCCTCACGCACTCGGAGGACTCGATTTCGATCGACATTTTACGCCAACCGCTCAAGACAGACCGCCCACCGCCGCCACTGCCTCCACAACGACCGCCTTCCGCCCTCACGCTCCGCCGCTTCCGGTCCGCGCCACTCCGCGCGGGACCGCCCCTCAGGGAGCGTCACGTGGCGGGGAGGGGCGGGGATACGCCGCCGGCGGGCATGCGCACTGGGGCGGCCCTGCGCCGCGGCGGCGGGTGGGTGGGTGGGTGGTGCGCCCCCTGGTGGGGGCTGCGGGCGCCCGGTGCCCCAGCGCGGAGCGGGGCCGGGCCGGGCCGAGCCGGTGCTCAGCCGGTCCCAGCCGGTGCCCCCGGGGTGGGGGGTGGTCCGGGGCCCTCAGGCCCGCCCTCGGCAGTGCTGGAGGACCCAGCAGCTTTCCCTGATCTCATTGTTACTCGTCATGTCGGTAAGGTGGAACGAATGTTGAGCTTAAGGCCTGTGACGTAGCACAAGCAGAACGCAGGCTTCGTGGAAGTGGGATTACCGGTGAGCCCAGTCGCGTGCTGGCCTGGCGCAGGAAGGCTGAGAGGGAGAACGAGTGAGGGGAAAAAAGCACCAGAAATATTGGGTCAGATATTCCCTCAGGATTGCTTATCAGTTCTGGGAACTGAAAAAGCTTGGAGGTTTTTTTTTTCCGGCCCCTCAAAACACCAGCACTTAGAACAGTCGCTTCAGTGAGGACAGCAAGTGTAACATCAAGGCAAGAGCACTGTTAGTTAACCTGCATAGTTACACTGCAAGTTGGCTTTTCACAGTTGTCTAAGAAGTAATGTCTGCACCTTCAGCATAAGCCTTGAGTGTTTTACAGTTGGAATACCGCACTCAGGTTTTCTACTTGGCTTCCCAGAGACCTGCAGTCCCGCCACTGTCCTTCACTCATCAGGATTTCAGAAGATTCCCTGCCATCACACAGACGTGTTGGACTGCAGGTCAGGCATGGATGTGGAACAGTTCCTTGGCTACCTGCTTCTTTGCACATGCAGGTTTGCAGGTGCAAACCAGGGATCTTAATTGTTTGCCAACCTTAAGCCAGTGTCAGCTCTGCAGTTCAAGACTGCGGTCGTGTGTGAAAGAATGACACCACATAAAGTAATACTTAAGTAGTAGGGAAATTAATAGTGTGTCTTGGCTGCTTTAATTATGGATTAGGAGTAGGAAAAATGTAGCTGTACCAGGCAGAGCCCTCCAGTGGTAAGGGTGGACATGGGAGACAAATGTCCTTTAAAGACACAAAAGGTGGCAGTGGCAGTCGCAGCCTGTCTGTGCTGCTTGGACTCTGACTGAGGCCAAAAGTCTTGAAGCCCCAGTTAATGCTAGAAGACGAGTAAAGCTGACTGTGTACCTCCTGGCTGTGTGTAGGCTTAGGTGGCCTTGCTTGGAAGGGAGCTCCTCACTCCCTGGGCAGCACTGAGGATCTTGCTGCACAAGTCTGCCTGGCATGGGGAACTTCCCACCTGCTTCCAGTAAGTGCCTGATACCAGTGCTAGATAGCCAGCACACAGGGATGTAAAATCCACTGTTCTCGGCCCCTCTTGCTGTTTTTTTAGGCTTAGCATACGATTTGCTGGATGAGCCGTGGAAAATAGAGCCATGTGTGAGAAACTGCCTGCTTTTGCCAATGAAATCTGTTCTTCGCTGTCTCTGTCCCCAGCGTGCTTAAGAAAGTAATCCAATAGCATAAATTGAAAAAATAGTGAGTGAGGCACACAGCTAATGTTTTGCGTGCTGTTGTTTCCTTTCTGTAATCCCAACTCATTTTTTTAAACTATTACAGAGGTGTGGGGATTACTGCCAGGAAGTATCAGTTTATCGTTCTAGGCATATTTGTTTTCACTGACAGGTGTATTTATGTCTGTTGAAGGTTGTTTTGAAAACAAATCTGATCCAGACTATAACAAAGATAAACCGTAAAATCCGAAGATGGCAGCTATTTTTGTGCTGGCAGCACACAGAAATCTGGCTTGGTCTGTCAGTGAATTCAACTGGTGCTCTCCTGCCTGTTCTCGCTCCTGTGTTACTGGCCTCTAGCAGGAAAAGCCAAACAGGCATGGTACCTGGTCCTGAACTATCACAGTCCTCAGAATTGCATTTTTCTGAAAGGTGAAACGGGCACAGGAACACTCTTAACAGACTGGATGGATATTGGTGCTGTATAGCCCATCTGGCCTTCCTTCCCTAATAGCTGCAGGGGGAAGTGCACACCCCCGCTAAATCTCCCTGTGCAGTGAGTCAGAGCTTCCCGTGACCTTCATCAGAGAAAAGGGTCCTGATGCACCAAGTGCTGCGCAAGCACATGAGAAGCAGACTTTGGCTTTCTGGCTAGACACAGCTACAGACAACCTGATCTGGTGCTGGCAGCAGACCTGCGTCTGGAGACCTCCAGAGGTCCTTCCAGCCAACACTCGCAGGATGCCAACACTGGCAGAGCATTACAAAAGGGAAGGAAAGGTTTCCATTTTATATTTTGGCACCACTGGGAAATGGATGCAAAGGGAGATAAACTGTCTTGCTGCAGTTAGACAGCCCAGATGATCTACAGTAAAATGGACTTGAACCCAGTCCTTATTGGTCCCAGACCCACTCTTTAAGTGAGAACTGCGCGAATGCATTGGAATCTACATTTGTAAGGGAAGAATTTTGCCTTTTTTCCTGGCAGAAAAGCTAATAAAATAATTTTCAGATCATTCCCATTTCAAAAGTAGTCAGTTTTCTGCACTCCCGTCCTGCATCCCTCCTGTTCTCTTGTTTCCCTGGGAGAGGAGCTGGAGCACCAAGCCAGGAGTGAGCTGTGCCTTACACTGACCTGGTCACCTGTCTGCAGTCTCCAGGGTGCAGGATGGGGATGCTGGTTGGGGTGCAGAATCACAGCTCCCATCTTAGAGTAGCTCTACGCCCATGAGGACTTCACTGTCCCTGCCAGACAGCTGTCTGGCTTCATGTGCAACTGTCCGCTGCCTTGAAAGCTGCAAGACTTAGTTTCCTATGATCCAGAGCTGTGCCATGTCACCAGAAAGCCACATAAGCTTACGGTGACAATGATGCCCTTTCTCTGCTCCCCAAATTACTCTAGTGACCTGCAGTTTTAATTTTCTCTGCTTTCAGACCACAAGGCCGGAAATGAGTCCTTCTGTCAAAGCATATTTGATGTAGTCTCAAAATAAGATGCACCCTTCTGAGGTGAGTATCTTGAGAGAGGCTGTGTAAGGGAAACAGCCTGTGTCATTTCTGTCTCTGTTCTTGAGAATAGTTTTTACGGGTCAAAAAAAAAAGAAAAACAAAACCCGAAACACACCCCAAAAGCTGTATCTTGCAGGGAGAGATGTGTGACTTTGACTTGAAATTGGCATGCTGTTCCAGAGAGTCCTTAAACCTGTGCAAAACCAAGCATTGTTTCTCGTTGCTGGCGAATCAAACCGCGTGCTGGGCCATATGAGGAGATGCAGATTGAGGGACATTGTTATCCTCTCTGCTGGGCATCCATCAGGGAAGGATGTGGAGAAGCTGGAGAGGGGCTAGCAAACAACTACAAGATGGGAAGGGGTGTGGAGCACATGGCCTGCAGGCAGAGCTGGCAGGGGCTGGTCTGGGCTCGCCTGGCCGAGGGGAGGCAGGAGCAGGGCTTAACATCAGCCTAAGGCTGCTGAAAGGTCAATTGCAAATGGAAGAAGGCTCTTTGGTAGCCTCAGCTGATGCAGCAAGAGGCAACAACCACACAGCGCTGGAGGGTTTTAGTTGGCACAACTCCTTCACACACAGCCCTGGGATAAGGCACCACTGAGGTGGGGACGATCCCTGTCCTGGGGAGAAGGCTTTAGTTGTGGTCACACAAAGCCTGGGGTTCTGGGAGAGCCCTGTCACTGACAGGGCTTGGTCCAAGACCCCCCACAGGAGCTTTGGTGCTCCTGGGGCCCTGTGAACTTCAGACGACGTTCTGGCTTTGTCCAACCCTTGACAGCACGGTGGGGAGGATTGGTAATTTAGGCCTGTCTCTAAGAGATATCCAATGAAATGTATCTTGGACTAATTAGGGTTGAGGGCTCAGGAACTCAGTTCCAGTTGCCTGGCCTCTGTTTTGACCCCTCTTTTCTTTGAAGTTCATAGAGAAGAGGGGAAAGGAAATGAGAGGAGAGGCCCTGCTTTTCCTGTAAAATGCCTCATTCCTTATAAAATCGTTTGGCAGAAATCTCTTTCAGCTGCACAAGCTGAATACTTTAATACATGCCTGCAGTCATTTTCCTCCCTTGTCTCATTCCTCTGGCTGCTCAGTCTCTGCTCTGCATCAGTAAAACTGTGGATGCACAGACAGAAATGCTCCTTGAAGAAATAGCAGGGAAGATCTCCAAAAGCATATCAGGGGGCTCTGAGTTGCAGCAGCTGTGTTATTTTCTGGGCTGGTTGGAAGGTGCACAGCACTACGCAGAACAATGGTGCCAGATCCAGCTCAGCTATGGGTTTTCAGACCTTTCTTGCAGGCAAGCCTGCTGGGACAAACAGCTTCCAGCCTTTGCCAGGCCATGGAGAAACCACATCAAACATCCACCCTCTCGCATTAACGCTGCACAAGGAGGAAAGCAGCCCAGGCGTGATGAGGGAGAGGCACAGAGTGTCCCAGATCTGTCCTGGGCAGTAGAAATGTTTCAGATCAGGGGGTAGCCAAAGGCCTCAAAGGAGAGCAGTGATATTCCCATCTTCCCACCATAATGCAGAATCGCCAGAAGGTCTTGTTGGGAGGGCATCTCTGAAGGTCTGTAGCTAGATCAGGTTGCACCTCCAGGGATGGAGATCTGGTCTCTGAGATGCACCACCCTCACATGGAGGAATTTTTTCATGCCCAGCTGGAATGTCCCATCCTGCTGTCGCAGATGGAGTGACACACTTCACTCATCAGAGAGAAGTAGCAACATGTTTATTGATACAAAGCAGTGAGTTAATAAAGTTTGATAGTTGAATGCAAAGGCAGTTTACCAAGATTTGATGTCAAGGTATACTTGCTGTTTACTGCATAGAGGACAAAGTCAGACATAACTGTCAGGGAGGCCCTCCCGTTGAGTCATGAGCTTCAGAGAGGACACCTTACTTTCTAAACTCCTTCTCAGAGGAGACTTTACAGGCATCTGAATCCAGACTTAGTCCCAGACTTACTTGGTCAGTGGTTTATGTCTAGAGGTTTATATGTGCACAGTCAATCCTCTATATCACTTATTTAGGATTTCAAAGTTTAGCATGCTATTAAGCACTTACCACGAATCTGTTGCGACAAGGTCTCTCCACACCTGAAGGTATTGCTGCTTAGAGGAAGGGCCTGGCGTGCAGCCTGCTGCTGGGCAGGAGAGCTCAGCGGGCCCTGGGCTGTGCGCTGTTTATGGACTAAGATAACTGGCTTCTATTTACATACCAACTCCAGGTGTTAACTTCTTCCAGAGTTGGCTGGAGTCAGACACTGACCAGCACCGTGGCTAGGTGGGCGCATTGCTCAAATTAGCTCTTGGCTACTGTGGTGTTACCTGTCTCCCCCAAACCCACTTTGGTGGATGCAGCCATCACACCCAGACACATCCATTACACTGCCACTGCTGGTTATCACTTGAGCGGGCAGGTGGGGAGAGCACGCTGCTACACTCCACCCCATGACTATAGTTAATTCACCTTACCCTCAGAGTGTAGTGGTATGGTCACCTCCTGTCCCTGTGCCATAAATAGTATATCAATAGTTTATGCGCTTACAGATCCACAGTAAGTAGATGGTGAAGCACTGCTATTTGCTATATATTAACCTGTATGTTTTGGGTGGTTTTAGCTGGGTTATTTGTTTTATCATGCACCAAACCTTTGTATGCAATATAATTATAAGCAATAGACACATTAGAGTTAGTAAAATTACAACTGGGTGAAGCATGAAATTAAAAACTCTGTTGCTGTTGGTGATCCATCCAAGAAGATTTTCCCACCAGTTGTGTTTTCCATCCTTCTTTACTCTTTCCAAGACATGGTGTATATCTGTTATATCATGTTGAAGAGTGATTAGAGTTTTGTGTCCATTGTTTTGGATGTGTTCTAGCAGTTGGCATAGGTCATCCAGTTGTAGTAGCTTCTTCATTAATGTAAGATTCATTCCCGTGGGGGGAGGCAATAAATCTTGACTCAGTATATGATTACATTGTAACAACTGGTAAGACATAGCATCAGCTGAATAAATAAAGTTACATCCCATAATTTTAGTAAGGTTGCAAACAGAAATATTTGAGTGATTGCTTGTCTCTACAATAACAGTATCGATGAGTATAAAACCGCAAAGGGTTCTCATACAAACACATCCTTGCCCAGTGTATGCAAGTAGTTTCAGGGGTTTCATCTGGATGTATTTCAAATGTCAGACATTTCATTCAGTGTCGGGACAATTGTCTTGGGCTTTGATGGTGTTACTCTCACAAAAAAAATTCTTGTTGTTCCCATACAACGCATGCATTAACATCAACAGTTTGTCATTTGTTTCTGTTTCATTGGGCCCATAATCTGTAGTCTAATGGATAGAGTATATCTCCATTGTGATTTAATACTAGTGCAATGATTAGGGATATGGTATATACTGAAGCATTGCATATTGATAAGACAAAAGCTGTGGCCTTATTGTTGATAGGGTCATAAGTAAAATTCACTAAATACCACTGGGATTGGAATTCTTTTTCAAATTTAGTTGCAATATCCCAAATTACCTTTTGAATTTCAGTGGGTAAGGTGCCATCTTCACCTTCTCTTATAATTGCTGCTACATAGATTTCATCCACAGTTGAGCTTGGATACAACTAGAGGCTAGAGGAACATTATTTTGTGCTGCAAAGTAAGTGTACATCCACAGTCAATTGGTGGTCCCTTTCATTAATTCTTTCCCACTGTGGCACTGTATCAGATAAGAGCCATTACTTAGTTCCCAATACTAATAGAGAAGACTGCAATGGGTCTTCTAATTTGTTTAAATCATGTATTGTGCTCAGTTTATAGTAAAATGAACACAGCATCTCCGTTTGCCATCCTCCGGGGTGCTGTAAGAGAAAGTGGAGCCTTGTTTTGGAGGGGAGAGTGTGAACAGGTTACCCCATTAAAAATAAGGAAAATAAGGAAAAATCCGTCATGCACTAATTCTGTGCTTTGCATCACTGTTATCTGTGGCTTCCTGGGCAAGTCAGCTGTTAGGTTTAGCTAAGGCCAACTCCAGTTAGGTAGATATGTAATTTTCTGATAGTGGGGTTTTGTAGAACTCCTCTGGGGGAAGGGTCACCTTTAGGGTTGCTTCTATTAAATCAAATGGTTTTCTAGTTTGTACAAGTTGTCCCTGATGTATTTTCTCAACTTGTTTAACTGCTTGGGCTAAAGATAAAAGTCCTTTTTCCCATTCAGATTATTGTTGCTCTGTTTCTTTAAATGCTGTTGAGCTAAAAAATAAAGGTCTTTTTGGCCCATTGGGGCCAGTCTGGAACAGGTTACATTAAGCAGTGTTCGGCAAAACCCCACTCAGCTGTAATAGGATTGCAGGGGTGTAGTAGTCCCAGTGACTGGTATGTTATTAATTCTTCAGTCAAGGGTTTTGAACACCTCTTTATGTTCTAGTTTTCACTCCCAGGATTTTCTTTTCCATAAGACTGAGTATAATGGATGGGAAATAATAGAAAATCCAGATACATGCTTCCTCCAGTATCCTAAAGCTCCCATTAATTGTTGTAAGTCCTCCTTTGATTGGGGCATTTTCAGCTCTTCGATTTTTCCTAAGGTATATGGAGGAATCACTGCACTGCCTGATATCCACCAAGTACCTAAAAATTTTACTTTTTTACTAGGTCCCTAATATTTTCCAGGTGGAATCTCAATTTCTGCTTTATTTCGTGGCTGCCACGCCACTGCTGCAGCTTCCCCCACACTCTTTGGGTAAATTCCCCCAGCCAGAATACCATCTAAAGCATTGCTACAGTTTCACATCTTGGGGGAGACAGTTCGAAGAAGTTCAGCAAATGCGGCGTGACCAATTGTGGGTGCATGTTTAGACCCCTGTGGGAGTACGTTAAAGGTATAGTGTATTCCCCCACACACACACAAGCGAAAGCGAACTTCTCTTTATCCTCCTCCTTTAGGGGAGCTCGTAAAGATCACAGCTTTTACGTTTCGCGCCGCCACCCGTGGGCGTG